GGCCTACAGCAGGGCAGAATAGAGCAAGGCAAGAATTCCAAGCAGAGATAGAGGAGAAAAGAAGGCAGAGTCATGGAGACGCCATGTAGCTACTGAAGGAGAAGGACAGCCTGGTCTACAGAATGCGTTCCAGGACAGCCAAAGATACATAGAGGAACCCTGTCTCAAAACAACAAAAATTAAAAATAAAAATAAAAGAAATGGAGTTTAAAATAAAGCCATGTAAAGATGGAAAATACAAAGAGAATCTGAATACTGTATGTTTTTGTGTTGTCTTTGAATGGTTTGATGGCTGAGGAAGGAGCAACAGCTGCTAAAAGACATTGGATTATAAATGTTGCTGGATTAATCCAACCTATATATTTTGAAAATGCTTTGACTTCAAAATTTGATTAAAAAAATATTACTTTGGAGAAGAGATTTTTGCTTTTGTTTCCACAGGAAATGAGAGGCTGTGGATTCATTCTGGGTTAAGAAAAATCAGGTTTGATCAAGGAAGACCCCCCTGAAAATTCTCCAATAGGAACAGATGGCCCAGATGATTCAACATTTCAGAGGACCTCTGTTAGAGTTTTCCTCTGAGTTCTACATCCAGAACAGCCTCTCAAGATTATTGGCTGAAATGATCCAGCCTCACAGAATATTCCAGTCAGGACTTAACTATAATCCTAAATTTTCTTTAGGTCCCCATAAGATTACCAGCACCCCCAATCAACAGGAAGTAGCCTAGAAAACTATGCCCATATTCCCATAAAATGGATTATGGATGTTTGTCTTTGTTTAGAGTGTTGGTTACGAGTTGTTATGGATAATGGTCAGGAAAAAAAGCTAAACAAAGGAGATTAGATTTAGAGTTCTTGTTTTCAAAAGAAAAAAAGGGAAAGTACTGTGGGACAATGATCTTTGTACATCGCCCCAATTCCCTAAATGATTGCTTATAAATGTTTTTTTACATTTAAAGGGGGATATGCTATAGAGATGAATACTTTGCATTGGTATGGATCTTGGTCTATTAATACAAATTTAAAGTCAATTTTGTTATACATATTTCTGCTCTTGATTAAGGTATTGTGTTTTTGCAACTCGTTTAAAAATGTAATGTATAACTAAGAAATACAGGTCAATAGTCATCTATAATAGTCAAGCTTGTAATCTTTTTAAGTTCGGTTTTCTAGATATATAGAGATATATTTCAAATGGGTAGGTATTCTTCAAACCTTTCAAAGACTAACAGAATAAGGCATTTAAAATGTTTTAAGAACTTAGGATTTCTCATGATGAGATTCATCTGCTCCTGGCAGCACCGATCTACTTCAAGAGGATGATGGGCACTGAAGGGGCTTTTTATGGAGTTTGTTAGCCATTTGGACAAGAGATTGTTCTTGCCTGGACTGCTTGATGTTATGCTGTATAAACTGGACATGCAGCACCCACAGAAAAATCACTGCTAAAGTTATCTAAAGAAGGTGAGACAATATTTCAGGGTTCCTGCTTCATGAAAGAGTCTGCCGGGCTTTCTGCAGAACACAGGGGAAAGTGACTGACAAACAGCCAATATAGGCAGAGCTGTCTTTGAAATCTCCTGCTTCATGAAAAAGTCTTCTGGATACTATGGGCCTATAGGCTGAAGATGGATACCCCATTGTTACAGAAGAACTTTGGGTGACTGTCCAAGCAGTGAGATGTCTGTCAATTATAGAGTTTTGAAAGTTGTTTACAATGCAGTTCCTGTTTTCCTAGGTAATACTATATCCTTCTGGAATCTTTGATGGAATTGAAGAAAGACAGTTTTATAACTATAAAAGACCGATTAGGTATAAAACTTTAGTCTCACAAAGATAGCTAAGAGTATTTTCCTTAATTTGCCAAATGTAAATGGACTAAATATTGTAACTGTAATTTTTGCTTGATAACTGTTTTGCTGTATGTAATCTTGCTATGTTAAAGTTAAAACTTTCCTTTTTATTTAGACAGAAAAGGGGAGGTGATATAGAATTGCCTTCTGTATGCTATGAATATGTTTTATTACTATTGTTAATAAAGAATCTGCAGCAGCATAGAATAGAGCAAGGCAGGAATTCCAAGCAGAGATAGAGAAGAAAAGAAGGTGGAGTCAGGGAGACGCCATGTAGCTGCTGAAGGAGACAGATGCCTACCCCAGAACCTTACCACTAAACCATGAGCCTCATGGTAAAATATAAAAGAATAGAAATGGGTTAACTTGCCAGGCAGTGGTGGTGCACACCTTTAATCCCAGCACTCAGGAGGCAGAGGCAGGCGGATCTCTGTCTGTGAGTTCGAGGCCAGCCTGGTCTGTAAGAGCTAGCTCCAGAACAGGCTCCAAAGCTACAGAGGAACCCTGTCTCGAAAAACCAAAAAAAGAAAAAAGAAAAAAAGAAATGGGTTAACTTAAGATATAAAAAAGTTAGTTAAGGGCTGGAGAGATGGCTCAGAGGTTAAGAGCACTGGCTGCTCCTCCAGAGGTCCTGAGTTCAATTCCCAGCAACAACATGGTGGCTCACAACCATCTGTACTGAGATCTGGTGCCCTCCTCTGGCATGTGGGCATACATCGAGGCAGAATGTTGTATACATAATAAATAAATAAATCTTTAAAAAAGTTAGTTAATAAGAAGCCTGAGCTAATAGGCCAAGCAGTGTTAATTTAGTTTCTGTGTGATTATTTTAGGTCAGGGCAGCCGGGAAATGAAGGAGCAGTCTCTGCCTACATGTAGCCCTGGCTGTCCTGGAACTAGCTCTGTTAACCAGGCTGTCCTCAAACTCAGAGATCCACCTGCCTCTGAAGCGCTGTGACCGAAGATGTGTGCCCCTACTGCCCAGGTCACTTTTTAAAAATTTAATATTGGGGGAAAGGAATGTAGGTGGAAAGGCACATGTTACACATGTCCAATGTGTAGAGGTCAGAGGGCAACTTTCAGGAGTCAGTTCTTTTCTTCCTCTGTGAATCCCAAGGATTGAACTCAGGTCATTAGGCTTGTATAGGAAACACTTTTATCTACTGAACCCTCTTGCTGGTCTTCATTTAACCTTTAAGTAAGTGGTTTCTTTTGATAGACCAACTCACTGAAAGCTCTAAGATGGAAATGGAGGAATAGCCTGCCAGTCATTGGTAGGCACCAACAAAGATGAGAAGTAATTTTTAATCCAAGCATGGCAGTGCGTGCTTGAAATCCTCATGCCTGGGAGGTGGAAGCAGGAGTATCAGGAGTTCAAAGCTGAGCTGGAGAAATGGCTCAGTGGTTAAAAACATGTACTGCTCTTGCAGAGGACCAGAGTTCAGTTCCCAGAACTCACTGGGGCAGCTCAAAACTACCTGTAACTGTAGCTAGTCTAGGACACCCAGTTCCTCCTTCTGGCCTTTGCCAACATCAATACTCACATGCAAGCCCCTGCCATGCATTCATAAATAAATACTTTTTTCTTGAGACAGGGCTTCTCTGTGCTGTCCTGGCTGTCCTGTAACTCGCTTTGTAGACCAGGCAGGCCTTGAACTCACAGATATCCTCTGCCTCTGCTGGGATTCAAGGAATGCACCATCACCGCCGGTCCATAAATAAATAAATATTTTAAAAGAGTTTAAAGTTATTTTAAATTATTTTTAATGAGTTCAAGGTCAGCCTGAGCTTTGTAAGATCTTCTCTGAAAACATACAAGCAAAACAAAATACCCTGGTTTTTATGAAGCTATCTGGCTGCTGCACACAGCTTGTTGTCACTGTCCTCATTACTATTACATGCCAGGCACTAGAAACCTAGGACGAAGAGGAAACAGGAGACAAAAATCCGTTGGCTTGGGCTGCAGAGATGGCTCTGCTGTTAAGAGCACTGGCTGACCTTCCAAAGGTCCCGAGTTCAATCCCCAGCAACCACATCGTGGCTCACAACTATCTGTCATGAGATCTGGTGCCCTCTTCTGGCCTGCAGGCACATATGCAGGCAGAACACTGTATACTACATAATAAATAAATAAACCTTTAAAAATAAAATACGTTGGTTTCAGAGAGCTGACTAACAATGCTGAATACCTCAAACATGTGACGCTCCACATAATGAGTTAAAGGGAAAAAATACAAAACAAAACAGGAGATGGACAGGGATAACTATGTGTCTACACATCCCTGTCACCTTTTCGCTCGCATTGTGGCAGTGAAGGAACTACATTATCTACACCTGCATCTTCCTAATAGCGTCTCCCAGGATTCAGGTAAGCTGGACCAAGGGTCTAGCCAGCTGCTTCCCCACCCCCCATGAGCCCCACCCCTTCCGGAGCCACGCCCCGCGCTTGCGCTCACTTGTAGAAGCTCAGGGGCAGGTTGTCTGCGCCGAGCTGGAGCAGTTTGGAGCCCTGCGGTACTTAGGAATGTCCGACCCCGTCGAGTCCTGCCCAGTCAGCGGTACCACTTTGGCCGAACCCCGCCCGCGTGCAATCAGCCAGCCTCACGTCATCCTAGGGGCAGTGGGGTGGGGGAAATGTAGTAACACGTGACGGGGAAACTGAGGACGCAGACGTACACGATGTTGCTCGCGCTACCACGACTACGCCCCTATCACGCGCGCAAAGCCTGCCCCTCACCACTTGCAGAGGCAAGAGTAGGGCGGTGGTGTTCCTGGGCCTGCGCCAAGTCCACGGCTCCCCGGCCCCGCCCTAGGCCTACATCCAGGAGACTGCTGCGGCTCGAGTAGTCGCCCTGGACTGTGGCAAAGGACGAGCCGAGGGCTTAGCCTCGCAGAAGTGACAGCCCCAGGTCTCCGTGGACGAAGGAAACGCCAGCTGGAGATGAGCAGGGAGGCTCCTGCGAGCAGTGTACTAGACCGGCCGTGGCTCCACCCTCAGCTCCGCCCCTTAGCTCCCATTGGCCAAAGAGTCCGCCAAGCAGCCCCGAGATTGGCCAGAAGGGCTGCCGGCTGCGTCCAATGGGCGGCGGCGCCGGCTTTCCCGCGGCCATTCGCTCTTCGAGTGGGTGCTGGCGACAGGCGGCTGTTGAGGGCGTAACGGACGCTGGTCTCTGCTAGGATGATGGCTGCCCTAGCGGCCGGAGGCTACGCGCGGAGTGACACGGTAGAGAAGCTGCCCTCTGTTATGGCGGGAGTTCCGGCGCGGAGAAACCAGTCCTCCCCGCCTCCTGCCCCACCGCTCTGCCTCCGGCGCCGGACACGACTCGCGGCGGCTCCTGAGGACACTGTGCAGAATCGGGTGAGAGTCCGCTCCTTCCGATGACCCAGCTCCGGGCTTCTCGGTGCCACCTTGGTCCCGCCCGAGGCCCTTGGGTCCTCCTCTCACTCTTTACGTGTTGCCGCAGGCTGCCTGCCAGGCCCGCCTGGCCCGGAAGACCCGCCCCCTTCGCAAAGGCTCCTCCCACTTTTCTGCTGGCTTGGGCGTTGGGTGCCGCCCATCATTCTGGCTCCACCTAGAGCGTTGGCAAATTGCGTTTAGTTCCAACTCTTGGGAAAATATTTTGCGTTTACAAATCTTCCCTAGTCTCACTTTCTCACTGAGTAATCTAAGATACTTATCTATTCCATTCCAGTGTTTTCTTGTTGCTGATTTCCTTTCTTTTTTAATTTTTTGTGGAATAGGGCTGGGTGTCCCTTGCCACCATGCCTCTATTACATAGCTCTGGCTATCCACAACAGCAACAAGACAGTGCCATTCCCGGGTATGAGGAAGAGGGCGGCTTGGCTCTTGACCTGCCTCTTCTCTGACGCCCCAAGATAAGGCCTGGCCTTCTGGCCCCTATTTTGTTGACATCAGTCCCCTGGGTCTTTAAGACCTCTACTCGCTTCCCTTACTTGCTTAACCTTTCCGATCTACCTTCCTTTCCTTCACTAGAAGGGATTCCTGCTCCGTATTTATGGCTCGCAATCATGGAGAATGGGAGGAATGATTTGTAAAATCTTAGTGGTGCTGCCCGGGGACGAGGGTTACAGAACAATTCCACAGATTTTGAGACCCAGAAATGATTTTAGGTAGAAGGAATGCTATAAGCAAGACATTTTTTATAAAGATTTTTATTTCTTTTTATGTGCACTAGTGTTTTGCCTGCATGTGTATGTCTGTGGTGAGGGTCCCAGGTCCCCTGGGACTGGAGTTACAGATCGTTATGAGCTGCCATGTGGATGCTGAGAATTGAACCTGGATCCTCGGGAAGAGCAGCCAGTGCTCTTACCCTTGGAGCCATGTCTCCAGCCCCTGCAGAACATTTTGTTGTTGTTTGTTTTTTCGAGACAGGGTTTCTCTGTGTAACAGCCCTAGCTGTCATGGAACTTACTTTGTAGACCAGGCTGGCCTCTGCCTCCTGAGTGCTGGAATTAAAGGCATGCACCACCATCGCCTGGCACAAAACATTTTTTATATTACATTTATTTATTGGGGGAGATGGATTTTGTACCATGGTGTAGGTATAAGTGTGTGAGGTCAACTTTTGAAATTAAACTCTCCTAGTGGGTTTTGGGGATCTGAACTCAAGTTGTTAGCTTTGGTCCCAAGAATCTTTCCCTGCTAAGCTGTTTTCTGCTCTAGAGGTGGAGGGACCTGGGAGCATGGAGCCAATAAATGAGTCAGACTAAAGTCCCGTGCAATAGCCAGCTTTATTCAGAGCATAGACAGTTTGCACTCCGAGGGTTAAGACTGAGGTTGCAAGACTCTAGTCTTGGTTTCTTGGAGTTTCCTTACCAACACTCAGAATTCCCGCTCACATTCCTGGGCCATGTTCTGACACTGAGCCACCTCTCTGGCCCCAGAGGAATAGTTTTTTGTTTTTTGGAGTTTTTTTGTTATTGTTGTTGTTTTAGGGTTTATTTATTCTTATGTGGGTGTTCTGCCTACATGTATATATGTGCATTCTGTGGGTGCCTGGTGCGTCAGGAGGCCAGAAGAGGGTGTCGGATCCTCTGGACCTGGAGTTACAGATGGCTGTGGGTCCTTTGGGAGAGCAACAGTGTACTTCACTGCCGAGCCTCCTTTCCACCCCACCAGCAACACTAAGAGTGGTTCTCTAGTCATTGCTGGGCACATAATCTTTTTATAACATTGCGATGACAGCCACACAATGGGATTGAAGAGAGAGGAAATGATGACCGTCTCCTTGGCACACACAGTGTCCAGATAAAGGATGGATCCATGGCAGCTGCTGCTGACTCTTTTTCCTCTCTGGTGGGCTTTCGATCTCTTAGAGAATCCCCCCAGAGTGCCAGATTATAGGCAAGTGGTTCCTGCCCACAGGCCTTTCTATTGTGTAGCTCTGATTATCCTGGAACTCTATATAGACCAGGCCAGCCCCGAATGCAGAGATCCACTTGCCTCTCTCTCTCTAGTGCTGGGATTAAAGGCGTGCACGACCACATCTGACCCTTGCTCACCATAGTGGCTGTACCTTTTTTTCTGTTTTGTTTTGTTTTTCAAGTCAGAATTTTCCTGTGTAGCCCCAGCTGTCCTGGAACTCACTCTGTTGACCAGGCTGGCCTCGAACTCAGAGATCCACCTGCCTCTGCCTCCTGAGGGCTGGGATTAAAAGCGTGCACCATCACTACCACCACCACCGGCTGCCTGTACCTTCTCCGTCCTCCCTTTCACTGAGGTTCAGCCATACCAGCCTGCTTTTTGTTTTTCTGAAGTTACTAGTCCTTTTCTGCCTCCTGGACTTTGCACTGGTTGATTCTTTGCTGGATGTTTTGCTGTAGTCTCTTTCTCTGGCTTCTTCCCATTCTTCAAGTCTCAGCCTGAATGTTCTTGTCTGGAGAAGTGTTCTGGAATCCCAGCCTAGAGACACTCCCTCGGGGCCCTTACACACTCCCGAAAGTGCCTTGTGTGTTCTTAAACTGCGTGTAGGAGAATAACAGAAGCAAGTACAGAAAGGGGTACATAAGGTGATCTGCTCAGCCTCTGGACTCAACTGCCTGAGCTTAAATATTCTGTTCCTTATATCAAGTTAGGAACTTTGCCATGCCTCAGTTACCCCAGCTATAAAACAAGAAGAATGGTGTAGAATCTCTCACACCGTACTAGCTTTTATGCTTTAATTTGTTCTGTTTTGTTGCTGATATTATGTAGCCCAGACTGGCCTCAAACTTATACTCCTCCTGTTTTCCAAGTACCGGGACCCCAAATGTGCGCCTCCATACGCAGCCTCCTCATAGGGTCCATGTGAAATTCTGAGGGTTCGCATCTTAAGCCTCATCTTAAGGGCAGGCACACTGCAGGTACTCTGTCAGTGTTAGTCAATACTGTTGTTATTGTGTTTGGGGTGATGTCATCTATTTTTTCTCATTTGACAGCACATCACAGAGATCATCTGGCTTGCAAAGCCATACTCTAAAAATGTCCAGTTACACTAAAGCCCCATAAAGCTAATGAGCGTGTAAATCCCACGAGTGCCGTTGCTTGACTGACCGCGCCAGAGTCCTGGCAGTCACTCCTGCTGCACGGGTAGCTGCCCTGGGGCTCTGGTTGTCATGTGTTCAGGAGCTCTGCCCAGAGGTGTGAGAACAATGCCTGACTGTGATAAGAACTCAGAAGCATCAGCCCTTACACCCCCATGTTTGCTTGTCAATTTGGAGGCCTGTGGCTGGGCTTTGCCATTAGAAGCTGGTGTATCTAAGATACGAAGGCGCCACAATTCTGTTAGTCTGTAGTTTCTTTTTTATCATTTTAGCAACCCTGATGAAATTCTGGCACATGTATGAGATAAAAGAAATTCTTTTTCCTAGGCATGATAGCACGTTCCTTTACATCTTAGCACTCGGGAGGCAAAGGCAAGTGGATCTCTGCAAGCTTCAGGCCAGCCTGGTCCCCACAGTGATTTCCTGGCCAGCCAGGGCTCCACAAATAGACCCTGTCTCAAAAAATAAAAGGTTTTTTTTTTTCAGTGCTGGGCCTCAAACCTAAGGCCTTATATATGCTAGGGAAACATTCTGATATTGGGCTCTATCTTCAACCTGTCCAAAAAAAAAAAATCTGTTTAGCTGGGTAGTGGCGCATGCCATTAATCCCAGCACTTGGGAGACAGAGGCAGTCGGATCTCTGTGAGTTCGAGGCCAGCCTGGTCTATAAGTATTAGTTCCAGAACTGTCTCTAAAGCTACAGAAAAACCCTGTCTCAAAAAAAAAAAAAAATCTGTTTCAGTGTGACTTGTTTCTCTACCTGTTGAAAACGCTAGACTAAATTTGATGAGGGGATACTATCTGCATTTTGCTTAGTGTTGTGTCTTCCCTGTATATCCTGAAGTGCTGGCATTGGAACCAGAGCGCCTTTGTTTGCCCTCTACCCATGCCCCTCTGAAGCTGCAGGATCTGTGGCTTATCTGTAAACAAGGGTGGTTGTGATCTTATTCCTTACCGGTCGTCAGGCAATAAGTCATTTATCTACCAACACCCTTTGACCCACAGTCAGAGGTCACTTTGTCGCTGGGCGGTCCTCCTCCCCTGCAGGCCCGTTTCTTCCCTGCTAGCCCTTGTTCCTCTTGCAGCAGGCAAGGGAATGGTGTCAAGAGTCAAGTGCTAGTTGCTGGTAAGCAGCATGGCTTCAGACGCTCAGGAGTGTGGGGAGTGCCCTGAGACTCATGACCGAGGCAGCTGTGCCATGTGGGGCCTGCCAGAACATGTATTTCTGACAGCCCTTCTCTTTGCAGGTGACGCTTGAGAAGGTGCTTGGCATCACAGCTCAGAACAGCAGTGGGCTAACCTGTGACCCTGGCACAGGCCATGTAGCCTACCTGGCAGGGTAAGCACATGGGTGGGCTTCAGCAGCTGGTTGCTGTTGAGAAATTTGGAGTTGATGTCATTGGTACATCTCCCTGGGCCTTGGCTTCCTGTCTGTAGGATACAGACAATGCTGCTCCCTCTGAGGGCTGTGGCAAGGACTCCGTTCTCACCACAGCCCCATCTGTGTCTAGAGCAGTACCTGGCAAGTCAATGCTCGGAAAGCCCTTTACTCATGACTGCAAATGTGAGGTGGTAGCAATTATAGGAAACTCAAGTGGCTAAAACCCAAACTCGTGTCCAGCTCGACTACATAGACCCTCTTAGAGCCTCTGCTCCTAGCTAGTAGCCCTCCATTCTGGTAGTTGACAGAACTGGAGGAGATTGTGTTTAGTCCAGAGATTCTGGTCTAGCTTGGCCCTGCTTAGGCAATGAAAGAGCCTTCTCCTCCACCCTGCAGAAAGATAGGGCCGAGTAGACTTAGTAACAAACAGTATCTATTAATGAGACCTTGGGAAATAGTTCAGGACTGGACAGGCTGATCTGTTAAATCCAGCTGGGGTATATTCACATCCCCACTGCATTTCTGACCTGGGTGGCTTGTGTAAAGGACTTTCCCCCTCTGGGCTTCATTCCTCTATGTCAAATCTAAAGAGCCCTTGGCCTCAGCAGGCAGTCATGAGGGTTTAAGGCTGTTAAAGCCATAAGGCCTGTGTAAGCCTAGGGCCTCCTGGAATAGTCCCTACAAAGAAAGTGTTTGGTTCTATTTAAGAATATATAGAAATAGCTGGGTGGTGATGGTGCACACCTTTAATCCCAGCTTTTGGGAGGCAGAGGCAGGTAGATTGCTGTGAGTTCGAGGCTAGCCTGGTACACAGCAAGTTTCAGGACAGGTTCCAAAACTGAGAAACCCTGTCTCAAAAAAACCTATACATATACATGCATATATACATACATATATTAATAACAAGTGCCCAATATTCTCAGTGTTAATATCTGGAGAAAGGGGGAACCAGAAAGAGAATCTTCTGCCTAGAGGGAGGGAGCTTATAAAAGCTGGAGAGGTATCTCAGGAGTAGGCGGCTTGCCTAGCGTATTTAAGACCCTGGGTTCCATCCCCAGTACCACCAAAACCAAAAGCTCCTTGGCACAGGAGCCTGAGACAGGAGGAGTTCAAAGCCAGCCTAGGCTACATAATGAGAAAAACAAACAAAATCAGAGGGAGCCATGTTGACAAATGACTTTTTCTTTGGGGAGAGAGTCATGCCTGGGCCCGGTGCTTCTCCCAACCCCCAGTTCCGATGTGCTTTCCTCTTTCCCCAGCTGTGTGGTGGTGATCTTGAACCCCAAAGAGAACAAGCAGCAGCATATCTTCAACACGACCAGGTAGGCGGGGCCTGGGCATGTGGTGGGGTTGGGGAACCAGGCTGCTGTCCTCATCCCTTTCCCCACAGAGCCCGGAGTTATTCGTGGGTGGTGACTCATTTACTCAGCAATGGTCCCAGGGACTGCTTTGTGCTAGGTACTATCTGGGTATTGGCAACCTAGCTGTGAGCAGGGACAAGCATCTGCCCTCTAGAGCTGACAGTGCGGGAGACAGACGTCGACCCACCAGCAGATTACCAGCTGATTGCCATCAGTGTCACAGAGGAAATGCTTGCAGGGGTGGGGCGTTGGGAAGAGAATGGGGAAAGCTATCTCGGCGGCCTCCCTGAGTTTGAGACCTAAAGATATGTCGGAAAACTAGCAAGAAGTGCTACAAAGGTGAAGAGTCAGGTGACCGGCAGAATAGCCATGGGCCCAAGTGCTGGGTACCGGAGCAAGAGAGGAAAGAGAAAGCCGAAGCAGAAGCTGTACCACCACTTTGCTTCTTGGAGAAGGAGCTGTATGTCATACTGAGTGCCAAGAGATGCCACTGGATGGCATACACAGGCCAGGGAGGATGCTAAATCATCTGTGGAGGTGGCAGAGTCACATAGAAGCCAGGTGGGTGGCACGTGAGCCTATAATCTCAGCACTTAGGATGCTGAGGCAAGAGGCTACTTCATGAGATCTTGTCTAAGAAAACGAAAACAAAGTACCTAAAACCAGGATTGAAACAAAGGAGGAGCTAGAGCTGTAGAGTCCGGGCATGGCCTTGCTTCTAAAAGGCATGACAGCTAGTCTGCCCTGCAGCCCACGTTCAGGCTAGTTAAGAGTAAAGAGACAGGAGCTGGAGACAGCTCAGTCTATACAGTGCTTGCTGTGCAAGCGTGAAGACCCAATCCAGTCCCCGGGATCCACATAAACAGTTAGGTGAGGCACTCATGAGGCAAGCGAATCTGAGTTTGAGACCAGCCTGATCAACAGAGCAAGTTCCAGAACAGCTAGGGCTACTCAGAAAAACCCTGTATCAACCCCCTCCCCAAAGTTAGGTGTGGTGACACGTGCTTATATTCCCAGTGTTGGGGATGTAGAAATGGGGATCCCTGTGGGCTCACTGGCCAGCTAGTCTATCTTAACTGGTAAGCTAGGCACCACCAAGAAATCCTGTCACAAGAAAATGAGGGGCTGGAGAGATGGCTCGGTGGTTAAGAGCATTGCCTGCTCTTCCAAAGGTCCTGAGTTCAATTCCCAGCAACCATATGGTGGCTCACAACCATCTGTAAAGAAGTCTGGCGCCCTCTTCTGGCCTTCAGGCATACACACAGAATATTGTATACATAATAAATAAATATAAAAAAATAAAAAATAAAAAAAAATAAAAAAAAAAGAAAATGAGGTAGGTAGCGCCTGAGGAGCCACAGCACTGAAAGCTGACCTCTGGCCTTCACGTGCACGTGTGCACACAGTACTGGAAGCGTTTGGCGTTGGAGTTCCTAGAGCACTCAATAAGCGCATCTGCATGTGTACCGGTGTCCTCCCGTGGACACCACTTCTCTAGTTAGGCCAAGGCTGTACCAGCTCCTTGTCTGAGTTTGAGGGCTCTGTTACAGGGGGAGGGTCTTGGGAAGCTCACTGGGGAAGAAAGCGGAATCTCCATCCTGGGTCTGCAGTGTTTGGTGTTGAGGGAGGAAAAGCCCTTTGCTTCTGTTCCGTTTCCCCCAGTGCCACGCTGGGCACACAGGCTATACTGGCTGTGTAGGAGCTATTGGCACTTGTTCCTTCAAGCCTAACCCCAGCCTTGGGGATCAAGAGTGGGCAGAATGCTGAGAGCACAGTCACCCTTGGTGGGACCAGTGACAGTTCTTTTCTTGTCTTCAGGAAGTCCCTGAGTGCTCTGGCCTTCTCCCCAGATGGGAAATACATAGTGACAGGAGAGGTAAGTCTGGCCTCAGCATCTGGGACAGGCCTTGGAGCCATTCTCTCTACTGCCAGCAGGCCTGGGGATCCCCAATTGACTAATTTCAGAAAAGTCCTGTGGCCGATAGGGGAGGTGATCAAGTCATGGCAATCTCAACTTCAGCCTAAACAGTCCCTCAAACCCTGTCTGGCACACCATTCAGCAGTAAAAACCACCTTACCCTGCCACCCCACCCCCAGAACGGGCACAGGCCAGCCGTGCGCATCTGGGATGTGGAGGAAAAAACTCAGGTGGCGGAGATGCTGGGCCACAAGTATGGTGTGGCCTGCGTGGCTTTCTCACCCAATATGAAGCACATCGTGTCCATGGGCTACCAGCATGACATGGTCCTCAACGTTTGGGACTGGAAGGTAAGAGCCCAGAGGTCCTGTGGGCACATGGGCCAGCAGGGAGTCTCCAGTGTCCTAAGCCTGCTCCCACTCTTTCAGAAAGACATTGTGGTGGCTTCCAATAAGGTGTCATGTAGAGTCATCGCCCTGTCCTTCTCTGAGGACAGCAGCTATTTTGTCACCGTTGGGAATCGACACGTGAGGTTTTGGTTCTTGGAAGTCTCCACTGAGGCAAAGGTGAGCTTCTGTCCCCACTCCAGCCAGGTCTCAGAGAGTCACTTGCAGCAGCAGCGTAGGCTCCTGTGACCACCCAGGACTTGGAGGACTCGTCACGCAGGTCATCAGGGTCTCAGGCGTCCAGGTGCTCACTAGTAAGCGCTGCTGGACTCTGCCCCAGGCCAGAGCTCACTAGAGGACCACTGCCTCTTGGCCTCTCTGCCCCAGTGCGGGCTCTGCTTTTTTCCCCTTCTCTAACTGTGTCAGGAAGGGGTCCAGTGAGCACGGCTGAGCACTAGGCAAGGGGGTAGTCACTAACATGTCCTTCTGTGCTTCCAGGTGACTGGCACAGTGCCCCTGGTGGGGCGCTCAGGCATCCTGGGCGAGCTGCACAACAACATCTTCTGTGGTGTGGCCTGCGGCCGAGGCCAGATGGCAGGCAATACCTTCTGTGTATCCTACTCTGGCCTCCTCTGCCAGTTCAATGAGAAGAGGATGTTGGAGAAGTGGATCAACCTGAAGGTACCCTGCTCCTTCTCTGCCAGCAGTCAGTTGGGAAGAAGATCCAGGGGTGCTCTACTGTGCACTGACCTGCTGGTGCTTTGGGAGGGGCTGAGGCGTTTGTGTTTTGTCACAGACAGGGTCTCCCCTTCATTGTGAGGTTGAGTCTGTCCTCAGGCCCATGATCCCCTGCTTAGCCTCCTGAGTGCTGCAGTTGCAGGTGCACACCTCGTGCCTGGTATCGTTAGTGTCTGACTGTCCAGGTTCTGTGTGAGCCAGTCGGGTGGTGGTGAAGCACACCTTTAATCCCAGCACTCAGGAGGCAGAGGCAGGTTGATCTCTGTTGGTTCAGGACAGCCAGGGCTACATAGTGAAACTCAGTCTCAAAAAACCGAACACCTCCCCGTTCCCCCCCCCAAAAAAATAGCCACACAGGCTCCATATGAGAGTCTCCCTTTCTGAGTTCCCTCATCTCCTCATCCGTTAAAGCAAATACTAGGCCAGTGAGACAGCTGAGCAAGGAAAAGTGCCTGGACCTGAGGTCCTCATTGAGGAAAGAACTGACGCCACAGATTGTCCTCTCACTGTCACGTGTGACTGTGGCACCAGAACGTCCCTTCTCCCTGAACAAAGAAATCAGTAAAAATTTTAAATGGAGCCAGGCGGCAATGGCGTAAACCTTTAATCCCAGCACTTGGGAGGCAGAGGCAGATGGATCTCCGAGTTCAAGGCCAGCTTGGTCTACAGAGTAAGTTCCAGGACAGCCAGGACTTCATACAGAGAAACCATACCATCTTCCTCAAAGTTGACAAGGAAGTCACGTGAGATAATATGCAGATTTTTTTTCTTATACTTTCTTGAGCCTACTATTTTTTCGGTCAAGAAAGAAAAGCTGGGGCTGGAGAGATGGCTCAGAGGTTAAGAGCACTGGCTGCTCTTGCAAAAGTTCTGAGTTCAATTCCTAGCAACCATATGGTGGCTCGCAACCATCTGTAATGAGATCTGGTGCCCTCTTCTGGCCTGCAGGCATACATGCAGGCCGAACACGGTATACATAATAAATGTAACAAAATGTAATAAAAGTTAGAGTTGTTTTTTTTCTCCCAGAACCTGAGTCTGAGTCCACACTGTCAACCTGCTCCAAGCTCAGTTACCCATTGACAGTGGGTGAGAGAGATATGCTTTTTGCTCCTTTCCCTGACTGGCCTCTGTGACTGCCCCAGAACTTGCCTTCAGGGCTTATAGCATGTGGAAGACTTCCAAATTTTATGTTTTCTAGGAATTTAAGCATCATTTTTTTAAAAAAAAGAGGAAAAAGGAAAAGATTATTTTATTTTTACTTGTGTGTAGTGTATTTGTGTAAATGAGTGCAGTGCCCACAGAAGCCAGAAAAGGACGTCAGATTCCCTGGAGCTCGAGTTACAGACAGCTGTGAAGTGGCCAGTATGGTGCTGGAACCCAGACTCTGGACCTCTGTCACCACTCTAGAGGCAGTGAGACCTGGGAGAATGGAGCCGATGAATGAGGCAGACTAGCATCTCATACAATAGCCAACTTAATCCAGAGCGTCAGGCAGTGTGTACTCTGAGGCCTCAGCAAGGTCACCTGAGCACAAGGGCAAGCCTCAAGTGGCCGAAACATGTGTTTCCAGAGGCATAGAAACTAATAACAATAGCCAGGTGTAATGAATGATCTGAAGTAAGCTCACTCCTGTCCGCTACACCTGGGAGGGACACAAGAGCATAGTCCAAGAACAGTTCCGTGTTTTTGTTTGGTTAGTTGGTTTTAGTTTTTGACTTTTTGAGACAGGGTTTCTCTCAGTAGTCTTGGCTGTCCTGGAACTCACTCTGTAGAGCAGGCTGGTCTCAAACTCACAGAGATCCACCTGCCTCTGCCTCCTCCCGAGTGCTGGGATTAAAGGTGTGTGCCACCACAGCCCTATTCAAATCCGAGTTTTTGAAGAAAAAAAAAGACAAGACTCTTGTCTTGGTTTCTTGGAGTGTCCTCACAAGTGCTCAGAAATCTCCTCACATAGCTCCAATCTTGGACCATGTTCCAAAGGTCCCTAAAGGAGCAGTAGGCACTCAGCCACCGAGCCATCTCTCTAACTCCTAAACATCATTGAAAATAAAATATGCATTTTTTTGTTACAGTGTTATAATGCTGAATGTGAGTGTGGCATGTCTGCGTGTGTCTGTGTTTACACATGAGTGCAGGTACTCATGGAGGTCAGGAGATAGTGTAGGATGCACTGGCCCTGGAGTACAGGGGGTGTGAGCTGCCTGACCCATGCTATGGGAAGCTCGGAGCCCTATTCCAGGGCAATAAACACTTGGAACTGATGAGCCTTCACTTTCAGCCCTTTGTTTTTCGATTTTCCTTTTAATCTTTTTAGAACTTAAGCAACTTTAAAGCAAGCTAAAAGCTAGTTTGTTTGTTTTAATTTAGACAAGAACTCATTGTAGAGCCCAGGCCGGCCTCAAACTTGTAATCTTACTTCAGTTTCTCTAGTGCTGGATTACAGTTATACACCATCACCAATGGTGTAAGGAAACCCCTTTTGTTTGGTAAAGTGTGGTGTTGTGCTTGGAAAACTGAAGCCAGAAGATTGCCAGAAATTCCAGTATAGTTCAGGCCCCATAGTGAGAGCCTTTCTCAAAAGACAAACAAAACCAAAACAATACAGAGAGAGAGGATTTTTTGTTTTTGTTTGTTTGTTTGTTTGAGATGGGGTTTCTTTTTAGCTTTGTAGCCTGTCCTAGAACCGCTTTGTAGACCATGCTGGCCTTGAACTCACAAATCCGCTTGCCTCTGCCTCCCAAGTGCTGGGATTAAAAGCACCACTGCCCGGCTGAGAGAGAGCTTTTGATAGAGCACTAAATGACTCACAAATTAAGTCCCATAGAAAACTGAAATCTGTCGAGAATCTGACGCTTATGATCCTTTTGTCAAAGTCACTGCTGTAAATGTACTCTTTTCAGATTTGTTTATTTTTATGTGTATGAGTGCTCTGCCTGCATGTCCGTCTGTGCACCACTGTGGCTTGCTGCCTGTGGAGGTCAGATGAGGTCATTGGATCCCCTGAAACTGGAGTTATAGATAGTTGTGAGGGCACTGTGTGGGTGTGTGTTGAACTTGGATCCTCTGCAAGAACAAGTGTTCTTCACTGCTGAGCCATCTCTCCATCCCCACCGATTTTTTTGCCCACTGTTAAGTCGCCTGTGAACAACGGTGAAAACTCTGCTCCAAGTCATGTGCCTGCATGTTGGCACATCTTCAGTCGTGACTATCCTATATTCTGATTTCAAAATAATATAAAACACCAAGTCCACTTGGGTATGTCCCGCAGGTCTCCTTGTCTTCCTGCCTGTGTGTCAGTGAGGAGCTGATCTTCTGTGGATGCACAGACGGGATAGTCCGCATCTTCCAGGCCCACAGCCTGCAGTACCTTGCCAACCTGCCCAAGCCACACTACCTGGGAGTCGACGTGGCACAGGGCCTGGACTCCAGGTACTTCCCTGCCCTGCCGTGGGAGAGGGAGGGTGTTCAGAGTCTGTTCACTGGCGTCCATCTGCTTGAGTGTCCATACTGTAAATACTAACGATTGCTCTTAGCACTGAGCATTAGTGCAGCGAATGAAGCATGAAAGTCCTGCTCTAGAGACAAGCTTCAGGGTAAGGGGCACTCCAGCATTGGGGAAGACATGCTTAGAGCAGGAGCGAGGACAGCAGAATGTGCTCCCCTGTGTTGTAACATTTACTAAGCAGCTACTCGGTGGCAGCCCAAGGCAGAAAGCAGGAATCCGAGCCAGCAAAATCTCTGCTGGCATCCAGTTGTTGTGCCACACACCTTCAATCCCAGCACTCGGGAGGCAGAGGCAGGTGGATCTCTGAATTGAGGCCGGCCTGGTCTACAGAGTTAGTTCCAGGACAGCCAAGACTACACAGAGAAAGCCTGTCTCAAAAAAAAAAAAAGAAAGAAAGAAAGAAAATTAAAAAAAAAACAAAAAAGAATCTCTGCCAACTAAACTTCTGTGCCAAGAAACCTCAGTAAAAGGAGGGAGCTCCATGAAGGTGCATATGAGACATGTCTCGTGCTAAAAGAGAGAGTGACTCAGAAGCTTGCTGGGTGGCCGTGACCCCTTAGTGTCCCATAGGAGAAGCCGGCTGTGTGGATAGCAAGTTAAATGCCATAAAAGGAGAGAACACTGGGTGCTGCAGGACTAGCAAAGGGCTGTGAGACTGACTGGGTGGCTGGAACACTGACGGAGACCAGCTGGCCTCGCCCGTGTCTCTTCTGAGGTTTGTGGGCTGGCCATAGGGGGTTGCATGATAAGCCCTTGAATGCAGAATCATTTGCCGTATCCAGAGTGGAGGGAAGGGCCAAGCTGTGCCTGTTCCCTTGCTGTAAGTCACTTGTGGAGTGTGGCATGGTGTCTAACCATGGTGGGCTCCCTCTTTGTAGATTGTTAAATCCTGGGCTAGCAACTCTCCAAGAGGAAGCTGGATGGGGTGACTGGATGTGTAAAGGAAAGAGAAAATTGAACAAGCTACAGATCATGGCATATTACACTAGCCAGACTGCCTAGCTCCTCTACCTACTGTAGTGTGCTGTGTGGTCTTAGGTAGTCAGTGTGCCCCTCTGAGTTTGCTTCCTCATCTCTCATCTGAAAAACAAAATTGCTTTTCCTGGTAGTGGTGAAGAATTGAATAGCCCACAGCAGGTACTTGGTGAGCTACAGTCTTCATAGGAAACTCAAGGCCTAGGGACTGCCCCTTGCACAGCAGTTTTGGATCAGTTATTAGTGAGCCAGACAGAAGAGAAGAGGCCTGAGGTATATGTTTATTTTCTCTCTGTACAGAAATGGACAGAATCTTGGGTTGAAGGAATGGGAATAGACGTGATAATTGGTCAATAACTCAACCGGTCATTGTGGCACACACCTATAGCAGATCTTTGTAAGTTCAAGGCCATCCTGGTCTACACAGCAAGTTCCAGACCAGCTATATAGTAAGATCCTATCTCAAAACAGAAACAAGGGACTGGAGAGATGGTTCAGAGATTAAGAGCACTGACTGCTCTTCCAGAGGTCCTGAGTTCAATTCCCAGCAACCACATGGTGGCTCACAACCATCTGTAATTTGATCAGGTTCCCTCTTCTGGCATGCAGACAGAATTCTGTATACATAATAAATAAATAAATTTTAAAAAACAGAAACAAAACAACAGCAAGGAACTGGTGAGATGACTCAGTGGTTAAGAGCACTGGCTGCTCTTCCAGAGGACCTGGTTCTATTCCCAGCACCCACATGGAGACTCATAATAGTCTAACTTGCAGAGAGTCTGGTACCTCTTCTGACCTCTAGGGATACCAAGCACAAACATGATACAGACATGCATTAAGCCAAAGCATCCCTGCACATAAAATAACAACAATAACCCCACCTCCCCCAGAATTTAAAAAAAGAGCACCTCGGATTGCTTTCACAGGACTCTTCCCTTCTTAGATTTCATTTTGTAAACCTGTGTCTATAGAGACATGGGACACCAGTGATGGCTTCTACTTCCTGCCTATATAGTAGTAGCCAATTTTGCCTTGAATTTATTATTTTCTCTGTACCCACCCCAGGGCTTCTCTACGTAGCCCTGGCTCTTCTTGAACTTGCACTGTAGACCAGGTTAGCCTCAAACTCAGAGATCGAAAATCCTCCACCTCCCAGTGCTAAGATTAAAGGTGTTCGCCACTATACTTGACTTTGGATTTATTTTCGTGTGCTTATTGGTATGTAAATTCCAGATGAAAGATCTGTTGATCATCTCACCACTGATGTGTGTGGTCCTTGCACCACCTACAGGGCAAGCCAGTTTTAGCTAACCTACAACGGGCACCACCACTGTTTCGCGATCTTGATGGAGCTGCATGCTTCTGTAACTTATCACAGCCTTATTTTCTTTTCTGATCTAGCAATAAGTAATAAATGCAGTCACTATCATGACAAAGGATGTGCTGTCATGGCCAGACCAGAGACAGGAATGGCTCGCTGGCATTGATGGTGACTGACCCATATGGCTTTGGTAGCTTCCTCTTCCACAGAAAAGCAGAAGCAGTCTACCCAGATACCGTGGCACTGACCTTTGACCCCGTCCATGAGTGGCTCTCATGTGTCTATAAGGACCACAGCATCTATATTTGGGATGTCAAGGACATCAATGATGTCAACAAAATGTGGTCAGAGCTCTTCCATAGTTCCTTCGTCTGGAATGTGGAGGTGAGACCATCTTTCCCTCCTTCCCTTTGTCCAGCTGTGTCTCCACTGGGGCTCAGCTTGTGTATCCCCCATAGAGCCTAGAGAACTCATTTGACCATTGGGTGAAAAGACACAAATTGAGATGGGTTTGGTACACACCTGTAATCCCAGCACTTGAGGTGTGGAGGCAGGCAGAGTAGGAGTTCAAGATCATCCTTGGCTGCACAGAATATTCACGGCCAACCTGGGGTACATGAGAACCTGTCGCAAAGAAAAAAAAGAAAAATTTGGACAGGATTGATGACCCAAGCATACTTTTTATATATATATAATTTATTTATTTCATGTGCATTGGTATGAAGGTATCAGATTCCCTGGGACTGGAGTTACAGACAGTTGTGAGCTGCCATGTGGGTCTGGGAATTGAACCCTAATCCTCTGTAAGAGGAGCCAGTGCTTTTATTTTTATTTTTTTTATTTTCGAGACAGGGTTTCTCCGTAGCTTTTTTGGTTCCTGTCCTGGAACTAGCTCTTCTAGACCAGGCTGGCCTCGAACTCACAGAGATCCACCTGCCTCTGCCTCCCAAATGCTGGGATTAAAGGCGTGTGCCACCACCGCCTGGCTGAGCCAGTGTTTTTAACCTTTGAGCCATCTCTCCAGCCTCCAAGCATACTTTTAATCCCGGTGTTCTGAAGGCTGAAGCTACCAGATCTCTGTGATTTCAAGGCCAGCCTGTTGTACATAACAAGTTCCAGACCAGCCAAGGCTGTAGGAAAATGAGACCCTGCGATAAAGAGAACAAAAGGAAGGAAAAAATGTTCAAAAGCTCTGTTCAGAGACTCAGTGGCTCAGTGGTTAAGAGTACTTGCTGCTCTTAAAGAGAACCTGGGTGTGAGGTGGGGGCTCATAACGGCCTGTAACCCCAGTTCCAGATCATCGCTCTCTCCCGACCCCTGTGGGTATTGCATGCACATGGCATACACATGCAGAGAGAGCACTCATAAGCATGAAATAAAAAATAAAGGGTTTTTTGTTTGTTTGTTTTTTTTTTTTGAGACAGGGTTCCTCTGTGTAGCTTTGAAACCTGTCCTAGAACTCACTCTGTAGACCAAGCTGGCCTCAAACTCACCAAGATCTGCCTGCCTCTGCCTCCTGAGTGCTGGGATTAAAGGTGTGTGTCAACACCACCTGACTCTTTTTTATTTCCCTTTGGTTTTTCAAGACAGGGTTTCTCTGTGGTTTTGGAGCCTGTCCTGGAACTAGCTCTTGTAGACCAGGCTGGTCTCGAATTCACAGAGATCCTCCTGCCTCTGCCTCCCAAATGCTGGGATTAAAGGCGTGCGCCACCACCACCCAGCGACTCTTTTTTTTAAGATTTTTTTTATTCATACAGTGTTCTGCCTACATGTATGCCTGCAGGCCAGAAGACAACACCAGCTCTCATAGACAGTTGTGAGCCACCATGTGGTTGCTGGGAATTGAACTCTCAAGACCTCTGGAAGAGCAGCCAGTGCTCTTAGCCTCTGAGCCATCTCTCCAGCCCCCAAATCCATTTGTGTTTGAGGGGTTCACTATGGGATAATATTATGCTGTCAGTTCTCCTTATTAGTTGGCCCACTCACATTAATAAGTCCCTTCTCTTTCTGTACCATTTGGGCACTGGGTACACTTCATCCAGTGATGGCTAAATGATGCTTGATCTTTCCCTCTGCTTGCCCTTTTCCTAGACAACCAATCGGTTCTCTGCCTGCTGAACATACCTGGTAGCTTTGGTTCATAGCCTTACATAAACTCATATGTTTTAGTATATCAAATATGCTTTTGTCTACCACCATTAACATTGTTGCAGTTCAGCTTGTTCATTCCGGGCCAATAGGAGTTTCTTTAAGTTGGCCTCTGGGGTTGGAAACAGCCCTGGTAGTCTTTGGTAGCACCTTGCTGGTGGATGCCAAGATGCTTCATCTTCATCTTGTACATTTATTGTCCAGACCTGGACCCAGCCTTTTTTTTTTTTTTTTTTCCGAGACAGGGTTTCTCTGTGGCTTTTTGGAGCCTGTCCTGGAACTAGCTCTGTAGACCAGGCTGGCCTCGAACTCACAGAGATCCGCCTGCCTCTGCCTCCCGAGTGCTGGGATTAAAGGCGTGCGCCACCATCGCCCGGCCCAGCCATTTTTTGAAACCCTTGTTCATTTTTCCAGTGGGAACTGGCACGGATATTTCTGTTGTTGTTGTGTAGATTTTGCTTTCATTTTTGCTACTGAGGACTGAACCCAGAGCTTTATCCCTACTACTCAGTACCCTACCACTGAGGGACCCCAGAGCTTTATCCCTACTACTCAGTACCCTACCACTGAGGGACCCTGTCCTGCTAATTGCTAACTCATTCAGGGCGCCAAGGTGGCTCCTAGTTGTCAGAGGTACAGGAAGTTATAGATAAGAATGTCCTATTAGTTATGTTTTTTCCACATCATATATACCAGAGTTGGAGGGCAGCAATTATTCAATTCTGAAACTGGTCACATTTTTTGTTTTTTGTTTTTTTCTACTTTTTGTTTCTGTCTGGGAAACACACACATTTTTTGGACAGGGTCCACTGTGTAGCATTAGCTGGTCTTGAACTCAGGGAGAGACATCTGCTTCTGCCTCCCAGGTGCTGCCTTTCACCATTGCTCCTGGCTTGTTCTTTTGAGGCAAGGTCTTGTTAAGTAGTCCTCAAAATGTTTTTTCTCTCTTTTTTTCTTGGTATCTTCCCCCCAAAACAGGGTTCCTCTGTGTAGCCCTTGTTGTTCTGCACTTCACTCTGTAGACCAGGCTGGCCTTGAACTCAGATTTGCCTGCCTCTACCTCCCAAATGCTGGGATTAGAAGTGTGTGCCATTATGCCTGACCAGTTTTTCTTTCTTTTGAGACAAAGTCTCATGTAGCCCAGGCTAGTTTTGAACCCAGTATGTAGCTAAGTCTGAAATGAATTTTTAATCCTCTTGCCTCAACTCCCAACTGCTGGATTACAGGCATAGTCCACCACCATTTCAAGTTTTATCTTAGGTTTTTTGCCCACATGCAGCAGTACATCATCATCCATCGTTCAGTGTTGCTTTATTTTCTGGGACTGTAGGTGTATCCTGAGTTTGAAGATCAGAGAGCTTGTCTGCCGTCCGGGTCTTTTCTGACTTGTTCCTCAGACAACACCATCCGCTTCTGGAATATGGGTAGCAGCTCTGACGCTCAGTGGCAGAAAAACATCTTCAGCGATGTGAGTTGTTCCATTGTAATCCGGTTTCTAGGAGCAGTGAAAAGCCTTCCTCGTGGAACAAGATGTTAGGTTTCCCTGGGGGCAGGAACCAGGAACTGAGACGGGGCACCTCTTTCTTGTTTCTCTCTGTTCCTCCCTCCCTTTCTGTGGTGGGTGGCATGAGCCGTCTTCTCTCTTTTCCACCTAACTTCTGCTGTGTGCGTGCATGTCCACTTCAGGCAGTCCAGCACCTTCACTGGAGATGACCTTGTCTCCAAGCCTTGAGTCACAACTCGGGGAGAGTACAGTAGGCAGAACCAGGCAGTGGCATGCCTCACCTCAGTAGCTGTCACACGGGGAACCTCGGCTGATATGTTAGCAGGAGCCCAGGGAGAGGCCTGCTGGAGGCTCAGGAGAAACAGTTTGCTGAAGACATTTTGGTCAGTGCTGCTAGGCCAGCAAGGGAGCTTTTCTGGGTTGCTGAGAGCTGAATCACTCTGTTTATTGTACTTCATGCTAAAACCCCCTTCTGCCTCTGTGGCACCTCCAAGTCTAGTGGGAGGCAGACAGGGGTGCAGTAACTTCCAGTCGTGTGCAAACACAAGTGCAAGAAGCACTGTGAAAGGAAACAACAGGATGCTGTTAGCACATGACCCTGCCCATACTGTCCCAAGAGCGTGATCGGCAGCAGCAGCTTCCTCTGGAAGGAGCACATCAGCCCTAGTATGGAGGGATGGGGTAAACAAAGGAGGGGACAGATGCCATACCTGGAATAACCTGTGCAAAGTCCCCGGGGTAACGCCAAACTTGGTGATTGGGAAAACCATCAAAGGTCAGTATGGCAGCACTACTGCAGGCCTGTGGTGCAGGAGGAGCATGGAAACTGCTCCTTTGTTACTTTCCCTCGCCAGCCAATAGCACTGTCTTCTGCATGATTGAAAAATAAAGCTTGCCAGGTGTGGTGTCACATGCCTGTAATCCCAGTGCTTGGGTTGTTCCTCAGTAAGGTCCTTGCCATGGGATGCACTGAACTCAGAGGTGCTGTGAGCTCCTTGCAATGCTGACCTTAGCCTCTCTTCCCACAGACCCTGCTGAAGGTGGTATATGTGGATAATGACATTCAGCACCTGCAGGACACGTCTCACTTCCCAGACCGGGGCAATGAGAATGGGACACCCATGGATGTGAAAGCTGGGGTCCGAGTCATGCAGGTCAGTCCTGATGGCCAGCACTTGGCTTCAGGCGACCGCAGTGGAAATCTGAGGCAAGTGGCCCTGGTGGTGGCTAGTGTTCACCTCCTGGCCCCAGCTGGGGGTCTCAGGGCACTGGGGAGGAGTCCTGGTCTTGGCACCTCAGCTGCTTACTGGGAATAGGGGACCAGTAGCACCCCAAGACTTCAGCTGGGAGGGGCTTCCTGAAGGCCTGAGGTCACAGTAACTACCAGGACCTCAGCAGCCATATGGAATGGCCTCCTCCCTGGCCAGGGAGATTTATGAAACACTCTCACAGCCATGGGCACTGATGCTGAAATGTCACTGGGAGGGGCCAGCTGCAGGGGATGGGTGCACTGAGCGGGTTCAGTGGGGTAGAGCAGAGAAGGCCCGGATGGGCTACCCACCCACCAAAGTTGTTCATTGCTTTTATTTTGTTGGTTTTGGTTTTAGGTTTTAGTTTTTGTTTGTGTGTGTGTGTTTTGTGTATGTGTGTCCCCTCAGAAGAGACTAAAGGGATGTCAGGTCCCCTGGAGCTGAAGTTACAAGTAGTTGTGAGCCATCCAACGTGGGTGTTAGGAACCAAACTCAGGCCCTCTGGAGAGCAGCCAGTACTAACTGCTGAGCCGTCTCTTCAGCCCTGGTGTGATTTTCAGACACATCTTACATAGCAATTCTCTTGTTTCCACCTCCTAAGTTCTGGGGTCCCAGGTGTGTACTACCATGTCCAGATTTGTTTTTATTTTCATTTATTTGTTTGTCTCTGTGTGTGTGTGCCTGTAGTATATATGTGTATGTGGGTGTGCATTCCTGTATGGAGGCTAGAGGTCAAGACTGGATGTCTGCTTCAGTCACCCCATTACACTTATTTTCTGAGACAGTCTCTCACTGACGTAGAAGCTCACCAGCTTGGCTAGACTGGCTGGCTAGCAAGCCGCAGGGATCCTTGTTAGGGCCACAGCACTGGGGTTAGAGGCACACTCTGCACCAGACTTAGATTCTTGCACTTACACAGCTGGTGCTTCACCCACTGAGTCTCCTTCCCTCCCTCCCTCCCTCCCTCCCTCCCTCTCTTTCTTTCTTTCTTTTTCTTTTTCCTTTTTTTTGGTTTTTTGAGGCAGGGTTTCTCTGTGAAGTAGTCTTCTGTGTCCTGGAACTCTCTTTGCAGACCAGGCTGGCCTCAAACTCAGAGATCCACCTGCCTCTGCCTCCCGAGTGTTGGGATTAAAGGCGTGCGCCACCACTGCCTGGCTTTTATCTAGTGATTTAATCCCCTTTAAATTTAATTTAAAACCCTGTTTTATCTATCTTTTATATACTTGGATTAATTGAGATGAGTAAAACCAGAAAAGGTTGGGCTAAAACTCACACACTAGACAGCAGAGGAGTTGTGGTGGCAGAAATAAGGGAAGTCTACATTTGAGAATGTTTATGAATGGGGCATGAGCACATGTGGGGGCACATGCCTTTAACCCCACCACCTAGGAGACAGGCAGGAAGATCTCTGAGTTTAAGGCTGGCCTGCTCTACAGACTGAGTTTGAGGATAGCCAGGGCTATAGAGAGAGACCCTGTCTTTAAAAAGAAAAGGAAAAAAACAATGACTAATAAATGAAGCTTGATGGTGCATACTCTATCAAAAGAAAACAAAGAGCTGAAGAGATGGCCCAGGAGTTCAGGTGTTTACTTTTCTCACAGAGGACCACAGTTTGGTCCCCAGTAGCAATGTCAGATCACTCAGAACTACAGGGATTTAACTATAGCTCTAGAGGATTTAATGCCTTCTTCTGGCCTCGGCAGGCACACACATGCCACACACATATGCATGCGTGCACACACACACACACAGTGAAAACATTTTTTAAAAAATAGGCACATGCCTTTAATCGCATCACTTGGAGTCAGGGACAGGTAGGTCTCTGGGAGCCTGAGGGCAGCCTGGTCTACATAGCCAGTACCAGGCCAGCTAGGGATAAATACTGAGGATGCCTCCCCCATGAAAAAAAAAGGGGGGATAAATAATCTTTAAAAAAAAAAAGAAAGAAAACAAAGGAGAGGTAAATCCATGAATATGGTCTCTGACCCTTTGCCTTTCCATCAGAGACTGCCTGTGATATTTAGCTCTGCAAACTGCCTTGCTACAGAGTACTGTCTTCAGTCCCTGGGGTTGTTTTGGCTTGTGAACTACAGGAGGGTCATACCTGTGGTCTCCTTGTTTCTGCACTGCTGCCTTTACCACAGCCATGTCTGGATGGGAAAGTGTGGTTGGACATCTCAGACCAATTGACACAGTAAGACTTCAGTGCTGGCCTGGAGCCGGGCTTGGGGCGGTGGGCAGGGTACAGTTGGCAGTGTGTGTCTCCCAGGGTCCACGAGCTGCACTTCATGGACGAGCTGATCAAGGTGGAGGCCCATGATGCTGAGGTGCTGAGCCTGGAGTACTCCAAGCCTGAGACAGGTGAGCCTACAGCAGGCTGAGGTCAGGTGGGCAGAGCTACGGAAAGCAGCAACTGACGGGAGTGGAGTCTTCAGTAAAGGCCCTGTGGTTTGACTGGGCCAGGTTGTATGGATTTCACAAAACAAGACAGCTGCAGGCTCATGCTGGTCCCAGTACCTCATCAAGACCCAAGCTGCAGGCGTGTGAGTGAGGATATGAATAAAAGCTCATCTGCTGGACAGGCTGATGGGTATGCCTTTTAAAAAGCTAAATGTCTACAGAAAAATTGCAAGAATGTGATAGCAAATACTTGCAAACTTTCTAGATCCAGATTTTCTTTTAAATCCAGTCTAACCCTTTGACTACATACATGACTTGCTCTGCTTTCCTCTTTCCATTGCTGTGTGTGTGTGTGTGTGTGTGTGTGTGTGTGTGTGTGTGTGTGTCACATACGGGATAGAATAAGAACATTCACACTTTGCTTTTTTGCTGGGTGATGTGAGAGTTCAGGAATGATGTCCTCTGACCCTCCAGTACCCTAAGAGCATCTACATTTACATGACTATAGCATGCTAGGGTGGAACTCAGGGGTGGAGCATTACCTAGCATTGTACATTATAGATGCCCTGTCCCATCTTGGTCATATTTATTCATTCATCCATGTGTGTATGTGTATGTATATATATATATATATATGTGTGTGTGTGTGTGTGTATATATATATACATATGTGTGTGCACATACACACACGTATATATCTATCTATATGTACACACATATAAAACACTACTACACTTACCAAGTCTGTGTATTCCATTTTGATACCATGATGTCATTTATCCAATTCCTTACTGAAATTTGGTTAGTTCCCCAGTATTGTCTTTCCTAGAACCTTTGTTCCTAACCTAGGCTCACATTTCCCAACGTCTCGGCTGTGTTATCATTTTTACTCTGGAGCACTCCGACAGTCTTAACTTGGCCTTTGGACTTCGGCTTTCTGCAGAGTACAAGCCAGTCATGTAGGATTTCCCATTTTGAGTTTGTCTGATCTGTCATTTGGTTCAGACATACAAGTTTGGAATACCCTATCTGTATTGGTTGCTGTTGTGCTGCTATAATGAAATCCTAGGGACCTGTGTGGAGCGTTTCTTATTCAAACCATTACACTATTCAATCTGGGTGGACTAATCCCCCCTGAGGTACAAATGATGGTTTGCCATGCCATTTTTCCTTCCATCCTCCATACCTTCTGCCCATTAGAGTTTCTTTCTGTGTTTCTCCACCCTTACAACTTCTCTGAACTCTCCTGGCCTCAGGCTGTGTGAAAAACTCAGCTCTATAGTGACAGAGCAGGCCTAGTCCAAGGGCCAATGTAGGAAAGGCCCAGGGAGAGGAGGATGGTGGCAGAGAGCAGACAGCGAGGCCTGACTGAGGCCTAAGGAGCCAAGACTTAGAGCTGGGCATGGTTGTAAGTGGGGCTCAGCGAACGCCTAGGCCTCCCATTCATCCCTCAGAATAGACTTAGCACGAAGGAGTGCCGTGGTGTGCCAAAGGGTCCACTACAGATAAGTGTGGCCCATACACATGCCAAGATTTGCCTTTACTCAACTGGTGGTAAGGGCATAGGGGCTCAGGGAAAAGGCCACCCAGAGCCAAGGACTTGCCCTTTCTTGGTTTGGGGCACCCTAGCTACAGCTCTGAACCCAAAGACCCCCTTCGTCAAGGATTGGACATCTCAGTCTACCTGCTTACATGAGAGGCAGAGCATCTATGCAGCCTTTGGCAACCCATCTGTCCTCTCCACTCACAGGAGTAACTTTGCTGGCTTCAGCTAGTCGGGACCGGCTTATCCATGTGTTAAATGTGGAGAAGAACTACACCCTGGAGCAGACCCTGGATGACCACTCCTCCTCCATCACAGCCATTAAGTTTGCTGGTGAGTGCCTTCCCTCCCGCTTGCTGGGCCTCAGCAGACATCTCTTTGTTTGTAAGTAACCACAGCGTGTCCTGTGGCATGCAGAGACAGGAGTGGCGACCGTGGATCTGAAGATTGGGCTTTTTGGTTTATAAAAATGGATGGCCGGGCAATGGTGGCACACGCCTTTAATCCCAACACTCGGGAGGCAGAGGCAGGCGGATCTCTGTGAGTTCGAGACCAGCCTGGTCTACAAGAGCTAGTTCCAGGACAGGCTCCAAAGCCACAGAGAAACCCTGTCTCGAAAAACCAAAAAAAATAAATTAAAAAAAAATAAATAAAAATGGATGGATGGATGGATGGATGGATGGATGAAAAGTGGGTAGGCCAATGCAGTGTCATATACCTGTCTGCTCCAAAGGCAAGAGGATTGTTGGGCTCAGGAACCCATAACCAACCTAGCAGCTTACTTTCCTTGTTGCTTTGACAAAATACCTGGCAGAAGAACTTATGAAGGATTTGTTTTGGCTCCTGGTTTAGGAGAAGATACAGTTCTTAGCAGGAAGACAAGACTGCAGTAGGAGACAGCATCCAAAGTCAGGGACAGAGAAAGGTGCATGCTGGGGCTTGTCCAGGGCCCTAGTCTGAATGGTGCTCCCCACATTCAGGGTGGGTCATCCCTCAGTTACACCTCTACAGATCTCCTCACAGACGTGTCCAGGGGTGCAGATGCACCATTACAGAGGCTGAGGACATGGCTCAGTGGGCAAATGCTTTTATGTAAGTTTATGAGTTCTGATCTCTGACACCATATAGAAAGCCATCTATAAGCCTAGGGTTGGGCTGGGCGGTGGTGGAGACACACGGCTCTCTAGCTGAGCAGTGAGTTCCAGCTTAGTGAAAGATGAAAGACCAGTCTCAGAAATTAAGGTGGAAGAGGCAGGCAAGATGGCTTAGCTGGAAAAGGTCCTTGCCACCAAGCCTGACGACCTGAGTTTAATCTCTGGGACCCACACAGTGGGAGTAGAGAACCAGTTCCTGCAAGCTGTTCTCGGACCTCCATGTTCACACCATACACTGTGAACACAATAAATTAGTAAAGGTGACCAAGAATGATACCTGATGCAGTCTTTTGACCTTGTGTGAAATATATATCCAGTCAGGTGTGGTAGCATGAGCCTGTAATCCCAGTGACTGGGGAGTGGGACTAGGTGTATCATTTAAGACTGTCCTCAGCAAGGCTCTTGAGTTCCTTACTGTGACCTCAAACTTACTGTGGAGCTAAGGATGACCTTGAGCTGATCTTCCCACCGTCATCTCCCAAGTGCTGGGGTTACACACATGGCCTTCATTTGTTGTTGTTTCATCTTGCAGTGCTGAGGCCTTCCTTAAACATACCAAACAAGATACATACATATATATATATATATATATATATATATATATATATATATATTATATCCATTTCTGGCCCTTAGTTGTTTGTCTTTGCTTTTTGAAACAAGATTTCCTATAGCCACACTGGCCTAGAATTTGAGTTCTTCCTGCCTCAGATTCCCACATACTGAATGTATCACCACCCCCAGCTCTCAAAATGCTGTCCTCTCTGTACCCCTTCTCTTTGTTTTCCTGAGTACCCCTATTTTGCCCAGACCTGCCTTATGTTTGTGTCTTAAAAGGCCTCCCCTCCGCTTGGAACCTTTCTGATGCTAGCAGAGTTGGTGGTTTGCCCTGAGGTGGGATTTTCCCTCCTGTGTAGCATAGGGTGGCACTGCCCAAAAACCCCTGCCTCCTCCTCCTCCTCCAGGCACCAGGGATGTCCAGATGATCAGCTGTGGGGCCGACAAGAGCATCTACTTTCGCAGTGCTCAGCAGGTAAGTGGGCTGGCCTCCTTGGGAGCTAAGGTCAGCAACTTGTCAGGGTACCCTCTGAAGGTCTTGCCTGCCCTGCCAGACCTCGGATGGGCTGCACTTTGTCCGTACCCACCATGTAGCAGAGAAGACCACCTTGTATGACATGGATATTGACATCACACAGAAGTATGTGGCTGTGGCCTGCCAGGACCGCAATGTGAGGTGAGGAGTTCCTTGTGCCTCTGTTGGCCTGGCCCCAGCTTGTCTCCAGCCTGGCTGAGTAAGGACGTACTTACTTGCTGGACTGTCTTCTCCCTGGCTACGTGCTTCTTCTCCCTGTTCATCTGGTCCCCGAAAAGCTGGTGAGACTGATGGACCCAGCATGTGTTTCTTAGAAGTCTGGCTTCCAGCAGGGCATTGTATAGTATCTATAGTAGCAGATTCATGGAAAGGAAGCATTGAGGGGCCCCAAAGGGAGAAGCAGGCCTTTCAGTTCTGTAAGACAAAGTAAGTTTCTGGCTCTGAGAGGTTTCCACAGGGGCTCAGGGTGGGAGGTTTCGTGTGACCTAGAAGTCACAGGCACTGATAACAGTAATAATTCAAGGTTGTTTCCCAACTGTGTAGAGGAGGGAAAGAACTCAGCTGTGTGATAGTTGCAAGGTCACAGCAGCTCTCCGTGGCTGGGACAGAGACTGCAAACAGATGTGGCCTGATTTCAGGGGAAGAGAGGGTCACTTGGGGTCCGTGGTCCTCATCACAGCAGCACATGCCTGCAATCCCCGCATTCAGGAGGAGCATCAGCAGCTCACGGCCAGCCCTAGCCATAGCAAATTAGAAGTCACCATGGCCTACATGAGACCCATCTCAAAAAGGGGGAAGAGGAGCTGCTCCACCAGGTTTAGCCACCAGCCCTACAGAAAGAAGACTCGTGGCTCCTGGGACTCATAACTCATTCACCTATCTTGCTTGGGTGCCTGTCTGGGCTGGAGAACTCGGCTATCACAGTAGAGGCCAAAGTAGCCCAGTCCTTCAGGAAGCCCACAAAAGGACAGTGCATGGTGGTCCAGGCTGGGGTGAAGGAAGCCTTGGGAGCCAGTGTGACCTGTAGGAAGGTCAGGAGCTAGCAGGGTTGGCCTGAGGATTGTGTTCTCTACTTCTACCTGGGACTAAGCCCTATGCTTGCTGTGTGAAAGAAGAGATGCCAGCTTATCAGTACCCAGAACATAACCTCAGCTTGAGGTGCGGGCTCCCACCCAGGAGCAGAGGGCAGCAAAGGTGTCTTTCGCTCCCACATGGCACCCCACTTCCCCAGGGTCTACAACACAGTGAGTGGGAAACAGAAGAAGTGCTACAAGGGCTCCCAGGGAGATGACGGGTCCCTGCTGAAGGTGAGTGTGAGACACCATGTACCCCAGCACAGAGCCCCACCTTGCCTCCTCAGACCTGTACCGCTGAGTGGTCTCTAGTTAAATGGCAACAGGGTGTGGTTGGAGGAAACAGACAGACTTTACTCCTGTCTTGGCTTGTCCTCCCACGGGACACAGCTCAGGTGGACACTTTCCAGAGACTCTGGGTCAGGGGAGTTGTTCTGAATTCAGGCTCCCTGACAGACCCCAGCTGTGCCTCAGGCTGAGCGTCTCTGTCAATGCCAATGGAAGCCGCTTCCACCCTCGGGTTGTTGTGTAGAGGGCTAAACTTGCAGGCACTGAGCATTTAGCCTAGGGCCTGGCCACCATCATTCTACACTGGTGGCTGTAAATTCTTCACCTGCAAAATGGCAGCAGGAATTCCTGCCCTGCCGGGTGTCATGAGAGTGCCCTGAGTTGATTCCCTGGACCAAGTATCCAGCACAAAAGAGGTGATCATTCAGGGGGTGGTACTGAGATGTTTGGCCCGGGCCTCCCAATAGGAATAAAGCAGGCAGCCTGAGGTGACATGTCTCTTCCCTCAGGTCCATGTGGACCCCTCAGGCACCTTCCTGGCTACCAGCTGCTCTGATAAAAGCATCTCGGTGATTGACTTTTACTCGGGAGAGTGTGTTGCCAAGATGTTCGGCCATTCAGGTAGGTACCTGCCTGAGCCACCTTCCCTGCTCCCACAGCCTGACCCAGAGTAAGGATGGCCTCTCTCCTTGCTTGCAGAAATCGTCACGGGCATGAAGTTCACCTATGACTGCCGTCACTTGATCACAGTGTCTGGAGACAGGTGGGACATGTGTGGAGGCTGCCCCTGGTGGGCCTCCCTCTAAGAGTAGGTGGGCACACAGCTTGGCAGAGAGACTGAGCCCAGCTTGCTGTGCTTCAGCCTGAGGAGGGTGCTTCAGAGCTCATGCTTTCTCATATCCCACCCCCTCACCCCCCCAGCCTGTTTGCTCTGTAAAGACGTTCAGTCTGTCCTGAACAGGGTGACAACTGAGAGGACAATACATGACCTGTCCTTCAGGATTGATTGATCCCAGGGAGATCTTTTGTTTGTCCCTTTGATTATCACAGTTCTGCCCCAGAGCTATTTGTCTTGAGTCTGGAGGCCCCTAGTTTTCTGGGATGTCTGGACCTTGAGCCCAGGTTCAAAGCCCACGAGCTCAGCTGACAGGGCATCTGGGGAGTGGGATCTTGGCTGTGATGTTGTAGGGGCTCCAGGCTCAGACATGGCAGTGGCTCTCAGGTGCACTTTCCTCTGCTTTACACCCCACTCTTTGCAGCTGCGTGTTCATCTGGCACCTGGGCCCGGAGATCACCAACTGTATGAAGCAGCACTTGCTGGAGATCAATCACCAGGAGCAGCAGCGGCAGCCCAAGCTCCAGAAGTGGAGCGTTCCACCCAGGTCCTGCCAACCCCAAGACTGGTGAAGTGGCCTGGGCCAAGAAAGCCCTGAGCTGAGCCCTCCAGTAGTCTTAGCCTGGGGGAAATGTCAGGCTTTGGAAACAAAGTTCCAAACTACAATTTAAGAAAAGTTTTAACCGGAGGAAGTGGTAGAAAGTGGTGGGCTCTGGTGGCCCAGGCCTTTAATCCCAGCACTTGGGAAGCAAAGACAGGCGGATCTCTCTGAGTTCCAGGACAGACTCCAAAGCTACAGAGAAACCCTGTCTAAGAAATGTTTTAAAGTGCTGAATCCTCATACTTACTGAGCCCAGTGATGGGGAAGCCCTGGAGGGCCGGGGGACCAGAAGGACCTACCCACCCAGCAGCGCGGAAGGGTGCTCAGAAGGGGAACCAGTAGGGACTCCGGTGGCGCTGAATGTCCTCTTACCCTTCAGCACAAAGCTGGTCCTCTGCTTACTCGAGTTCCCTAAGAACATTTCTTCAATCTTTATACTTCTCTCCCACTATTTGGAGTGAACTTGCACAGTTTTCTAGATAGTCTTGCTGTCTGGCCCAGGCTGGCCAGTCCTCCTGCCTCAGTCTCCAAGTATTCAGATATCAGAATGAACCACAATGCCTGTCTCAGGTTCTGGCTTGAGATTGAAGGTGTTGGGAAGTTTCTTCTCTACTCTGGTCTGTCCCTCTCTGCCCCTCACTCTGAGTTTTTGCTCTGGCCTCCATGTAGGCTCCAAGGTGCCTGTGAGGACTGGGCCCTGACCACAACCACTGGTCCTGAAGTGGAGGTGTCATGGGCTCAGGCACCAAAGGAATGTACCTCAGCTCGTACTTAGTTTTGAGGCTAATACTCCACCATGTGGCTCTCAACAGAGTCATGGCTGGAGCCTCAGACAGGCTCCCATCTCACCCCATTCACCTATGCTTCTCTCCTTTCTGTTTTCCTTCCCGAAGCCAGGAGACATATGTATCTACACCGAGCGAGATCTGCTCCCTGAGCCCTGGAGAGCAGACAGAGGTTGAGATGGAGGAGGAGTGTGACCCGGAAGAGTCACTGAAAACACCATCCAAAGAGAGCTTGGACCCAGGTTAGGGAAAGGGCCCATTGGCCTGGGGTCAACACTGGGAGTGTAACAGCTGAGCCAACCAGAAATGATTTGGTTGATGTAACTAAAAAATCAAGAACACTAGTTTTGAGCTTTGCTGGGCCCGGGGTCAGGTGATATCAAGGGGAAGGCTGTGCACTCACCTGTCACCCCAGCATTCCGCTCCATAGCAAGGTGAGGCTAGCCTGCTCAACAGGAGACTTTCAAAAAAGATATCAGGTAGGGTGTGGTGGTGTATTCTTTTAATCCCCAAAGCCTGAGGATCTCTGTAAGTTCAAGGCTAGCATGGTCTACATAGCGAGTTCTCTACATAGCAAGTTCCATGACAGTTTGCACTACATAGAGAAACTGTGTCTCGAAAAGAAAGAAAGAAAGAAAGAAAGAAAGAAAGAGACTTTTCTGAGTGTGGTTGCTCACACCTATAACCCCAGAATTTAGGAGGATGAAGGAAGATGCAAGTTCCAGACCAGCCTAAACTACTTAGTAGAAGAGCTTATGTCAAAACCAGAAAGAAAGGGAAGACCTTTTTCTCCGTCCTCTGGCTCTGCTTTTCTTCACGTTGACTCTGGGCTCAGGCAGACTCTCCCCTCTGTCAGTTGTGGCGGATAAAGCTGCAGAGACATGAGCACTCCTTCCGAATGCTCAAGCAGAGTTCTGGAGCTGTGACTCGTGTTCTGACATAAACTATGGCCCAGTTCAGAATCAGTCACTGTGATTGGCCACTTCCTGCAGGCTAAGGCTTAGTCAACTCCACTTAGTACCTGGCCAAGGTGGGAAGTAGTGGAGGGCTAAGGGAGTTTTCTCCAGAGCATTTTCCAGGGAAAGGAAGGGCAAGCACTAGTTCATCTGATGAAAGGCTGGCTGGATGCCTGCCCCCTGCATCTGCCCTCATGGTTGCAAAGTGGCTGCTCAAGTTCTAGGCATCACAGCTGGCTGAAGAGGAGAGAGCCGTGCCTAAGATTCTCCCTTAAAAGATGCTCCCACAGAGCCTATGGTACAGATCTGTAACCACAGATAGATGCTCGGGAGGTTGAGGCAGGAGGATTATAAGACCAGCCTCGTTTACAGAGTGAGTTCAAGGCCAGCCTGGAGACTTAGTGGGGCACTGTCTTAAAAAAATCTGAGGAAGTAGCTCAGTGGTCAAGCACTTGCCTGGTGAATGTGAGACCCTGGGTTCAGCCCTCAGTACCACACACAAATAAAGAGGAAGCTTTTTCTCAGAAGTCACTTGCAGGCTTCCCATAAATCTCACTGGCAGCTATGAGAGAGGCTGCAAACAGTGACAGAACTGGGTGCCTGTAGGGGGCTCTCTCTCCCTAAGGGACAAGAGGGGCTTCTTGATACACAATAGCAGTCTGAGAGTTCAGCTGGAAAAGCAGATTTTTGTTTGTTTGTTTGTTTGTTTCAAAACAGGGCTTCTATGTGTAGCCCCAGCCATCCTAGAATTCCCTAGGCATCGAACTCACAGCTGAGCCCCATCATTCTTGGTCTGGATCTTCTGTAGCCTGGACTGGCCTGGAGCTCTCACTTCTGCCACAGCCTCCTAAGATTATGATCACACACCACTGCACCCAGCATCCCCGCCCCAATAGTTAGACTTGGTCAGTCTTACGAGTTAAACAGTATATTATCTAAATGTGCATGTCTCTGACAGTTAGTGAGGTTCAGCATCTTTTCATCCATGGGTTCCTGTGCTACCCCTTTTGGAGAATGCCCAGTTGTCAGTGTGGTCCATGGCACATGGGTTCCTGTGCTACCCCTTTTGGAGAATGCCCAGTTGTCAGTGTGTCTGGGGTTGCTTGACCTCTCTTCATGTGTCTGCAGATCCTCAGTGCCTGCTGACCAATGGCAAGCTGCCACTCTGGGCAAAGCGGCTGGTGAGTCTACTGGAAGAATGGGAGACTTAGTGACTGGCAGAGAAGGAGCCCACCAACTCCTCCCCCTCCCGGAAGTTCTTTTTTCTTCCCATGTCTCCTTTCCTTGGAGAACCCCGTCATCTGCCCCATGCCTGCTGCTGTCCTGGCCATTGGAGGTGGGGCAAGGAGCAGAGCAGATAGTCTAGGCCTTCCAGGCCTGTTCACCTGTGAGGGGAAGTGGGAGAAGAGTAGCCACATTAAACAGATACGCCATGTTACATGTGGGAGTAGAGATATGCTAGCGAGCAAAATAAAAGACTGTTCGGGGAGTCAATTTAGTGCCAAGTGCCATCTCGTGACGTCTCTCAGAGCCTAAGAAGGTAGAGTGACAAGGAACTAAGCCAGGGTGAGCGGGCAAGAGGCCTAGAAGAGAGGCTGGGGCTGGGTCTGAAGGAAATGGTGAAGTAGAGGGATTGCAAAGGTGGGACCATTCAGTTGGATATGAGGGACAGAAAGCTACCAGCATAGTGTTAAAGGGAAAGGATCGTTGTTGACATGGATGAGGGACAGGCTAGGAACTGGTGAGTAGGGGCTGGAAGCAGGACCCTAACCTCTAGCCAGATCCAACTTGGTGGTATAGACCTGTGATCCCAGCTACTCAGGAAATTGAGGCAGGAGAATCACAAGGTCAAAGCCTGCTTGGGCCGTAGAGTGAGGTAAAGACTATCCCAGGCAACTTAGTAAGACACTAAGTCAAAAAAGTAAGGTGGGTACCTCGTGCACCCAGTGTCTGGGAGGCGGGAGGATCAGGATCAGGATCTGATTTTAAGTTTAAGAGCTGATCTGAGCCGAGTGGTGGTGGCGCACACCTTTTATCCCAGCACTCGAGAGGCAGAGGCAGGCAGATGTCTGTGAGTTTGAGGCCAGCCTGATTTACAGAACTACTTCCAGGACAGGCTCTAAAGCTATAGAGAAACCCTGTCTCGAGAAACCAAAAAAAAAAAAAAAAAAAAAAAGCTGATTGTGAGTTTAAGGCCAACCTGGGCTAGATGAGCTCTGTCTCTTACAAAAGAATAGGGTTGGGGATATAGCTCAGTTAGTACAGTGCTTGGTAGCACTGATGCAGCCCTAGGTCCAGTCCTCAGCACTATCTAAGCCAGGTATGTACTACACATCTATAGTCCCAGTACCAAGGATAGAGGCAGGATTGGGTCACTCTCTGCTACCCAGCAAGTTCCAGGCCAGCCAGGGAAACATGAGAACATGAGACCCTGTCCCAAAATCAAAGTTATAATAAGTGATAACAAAAAGAAAGCCAGGGGGGCTGGAGAGATGGCTCAGCGGTTAAGAGCATTGCCTGCTCTTCCAAAGGTCCTGAGTTCAATTCCCAGCAACCACATGGTGGCTCACAACCATCTGTAATGAGGTCTGCTGCCCTCTTCTGGCCTTCAGGCATACCCACAGAAAGAATATTGAATACATACATAATAAATAAATAAATATTTAAAAAAAAAAAAAAAGAAAGCCAGGAAGCTGGTGTTACAACTTGGAGAGGCCTTGGGTTAATCCTCAGTACTATAGAAAGCTTATTAGTCTACTTCACCCCCAAGGCCACACCTAAGGTCAAGGCCTGAATGCTATGCTAGCCCTTGGCTCTGCTTATGCAGGCCCCAGACTTCTTGCCCACACATTATGGTTATTCAACAAACTTTGAGAGCATGCTTACTCCATTCTAAGCCCTTCTGCAATCTCCTTTTATTTTCACTTGTCTGGAAATAATTAGCTACTATGTTCTGTTATTGGGCTGTCTTATATTTTAATTTTTCTGGAAAATAATTTTATTTTACATTATGAAACCATAATAAAGTTATTTTTTTATTTAAAAACAATCTTCACTGAAGTAGGGGCTATTCCCATCCCTATTTCACAGACAGGAAATGGGCTCAGAGAGGCTAAGTGCTTGGTCAGCTATCTCCCAGCTGGGTGTCAGAATGTGTGACATAATGCTCCCTCTCCAGCAACAGCTTTGGTAGGAGGCACAGTTGGTAGAGTAGGAATGGGGCTGCGTTGGGTGTTTGAGTGGCGGAGCTAAAGACTTTGTTGATGAAATACAAGTGAAGCATGAGTGACAAACTAAGGGGACGAGAACGATCCACCGTCGGGGGCCTAAGAAACTACAGCGAATCGTTGGCAAGGCCTGGGGGGGGCAAGTTAAGGGGAATCCAGAGCAGAGTCCTCCACGTGGTAACTTTGAGACATTCATGTGGAGAGGTAGTGCAGCCTCAGTAGGAGGGTTAGAGCCCAGCCTGGTGGCTTACATATAACCCCAACTCTTGAGGGGCAGAGTCGGGAAGATTGACTACAGAGCAAGTTCCAGCCACCCTCGGATACAGGGAAATCTTTCTCTGGGAGAAAAGAGGGAGGGGAGAGGAAGAGAAAAAGAGAAGGGTTGGGGGTATGGTAGATAGGTTCAGGATGGAGGTACATGGATTCTGGAAGCTGTTAGAGGTGTGAAGCTGGAGGCTGGATGAGAGATCTGTGTAGCCCTTGTTGAGCATACTGAACACATGGCTCGCCGCCTGACTGCTACCTCTGTCCCTCAAGCTAGGGGATGATGATGTGGCAGACAGCTCAGCTCTCCGTGCCAGTGCCAAGCGCAGCTACCAGCCACATGGCCGTTGGGCAGAGCGGGCTGAGCAGGAGCCCCTCAAGACCATCCTGGACACCTGGGACCTGGATTCCTACTTTACACCTATGAAGTCTGAGAATTCAGAGGACTCGGTTCTGGATTCATTGGAGCCACAGAACCTGTCAGGCCTGCTGAGTGAGGTACAGCCTCACCCCCACCCCCATCCCCTGCCCCAAGCCCACCAGCCATCCCTGCACTGTGGCTGCCCACTCAGGGAAGACTGTCCCACTCCAGGCCTAAGGAGAGGGTTCCAGGAGATGGTGAAGGCAGGAGGCTGAGCCCAGGCCCAGTATACAGTGTGATTTTTAAGACAAACAAACAGTCTTTGGTAGAGGATCACTTAGAGGTTAAGAGCTTGGGTCCCCAGAACAGGCTTTTCTTCTAAGTGGGGAGTATTCCAAGTGGGTAGAGCCTGGATTAGCCTCTCCCTGCCTCTGTGACCTGGGGTAACAGGCTTGTCTCTCTCTTAGAAAACTAAGAAAACTGTGCTCCCCGCTTCAGAAGACTCACAGATCCAGGGCTCAGCTCTTCTTTTCTAGAGGGCAGTCCTTCCCTGTCCTAATACATACATGTCCTCAGCTACCTGCGTCACCAGGGTTCTTGCCACCCTCACCACACACAGCATTTTGTACCTCCTAGAAAACCTCTTATGACCCAAGTCTGAGGGAGCCCATGTTCTGACCTCTCCCCATGAACTGGTTTGCCAGTGTTTGTTGTTGTTTTGAGGCAGGGTCTCATCATGTATGTCTGGCTGTCCTGGAACTCAGAGACCATCTACTTCTGCATCCGAGTGCTGGGATTGAATGTGTGTGCCACTGCATCCACCAATAATGCTTTGCTTATTCTTGGCTGCTGCTCTGTGAACAGAGTAGGCCTCTTCTGGTCCCAGGCTGTACCTACTCCTTATCTGTAAAGGGACTGTTGATGCCTGGCTAGAGGAGATCTGGTTGAGCAGCACACTTCACACTCTTCCTGACTTGGTGTCTGGCAGTGGGGCCTGTGGGATCATTCCTCTGCTAGTTGTAACATAACAGCTGGCAGCCTTTGAGGGCATGGGTGTTCTGGCCCCCTCAGAATGTCTCTGTTCTTCACTCTCAGTCAGAGAGTCCCCAGGAGGACCGCCGAGGACATCCCTCCTTCCTGCCTCTACAGAGGGAATCCACTGAGACAAGAGAACTCATCATCTGCTCCCCAGAGGCAGAAATGACAGTCACAGGGATGCACAGGTGAATGTCCTATGCACCAAGGGAAGCCATAGCTGGAGAGAAGGAGCCCCTTGTGATGGGCCCAGCCTGGAAAAACCCTTTACTCTTCCAGTGGCCTGTGGGAGTGGGCATGGGTGCACATGGGTCAGACGGACTCAGCTGCAGCCTCAGTTTCCTTGGTCCCAGGATAGATGAGGGGTTCTTGTAGGAGCAGGAGAAACTGAGGTGTGCTCTAGGAGCCGGGCGTGAGCGCCAGGGCTCTGGGCACAGGCCAGCTGCTGACACCAGTCTAACCCCACCCCTATGGTGCAGTGAGTACTACGAGAAGGAGGCCGAAGCAGGACCTGAAGAGCCCCAAGGCGACTCCTATCTCAGGGTCTCCTCCGTCAGCCCAAAGGATCAGAGCCCACCTGAGGGTGAGTGGGGAGCCACAGGTGCCCTGGTGATCTGCGATGGTGCCTTCTGGGCACTGGTAGTAGCCTTGGCCCAGTTCTCCAACATTCATGATGCCACAGAAGGTCAATGTGTCTCCTGCTGTCCTGAGGATGCTGAGCACCCAGCTCTGCCACTCAGGCCATGAAAGTGTGGAGCGGTACATGTCTCCGCCATCCTCCACATGGGGAAACAAAGCCCAGAGCAGCTGGGTTATGTGCCCTGCTCACCCAGGATAGGCCCCTAACCCCTCTCCCCACGCTCTATTCCTTCAGACTCCGGGGAGTCGGAGGCTGAATTGGAGTGCAGCTTCGCCGATGCCCATTTTTCAGCTTCACAGACTGACTCTGGTCCTCGCCTCACCATGACAATGCTCCATGAACCAGGTAAGTCAGGTGTAAACGCCCTGCAGCCCTGAGCTTTAGTTTTGTCAATGGAAAACTGGCATGTCCTTCTCAGCCTGGTGGTAACTAGGTGTGTGGCAAGTGAGTCTGGATCTCTCCATTGTTAAACAGTGGCGTCTGCCATGACTCATAGTGCTGACAGCGCCTCTCTGCACCCTGCCTCCCATGCAGAGCACCCAAGTATAGAAGAGCTTTCCCAGCCTGAAGTGCCGGGCCTGGCCAGTGGCTCCTTACCCCAGACCCCTGAGCAGGAGAAGTTCCTCCGCCACCACTTTGAGACACTTACTGACAGCCCTACTGAAGGTAGGACCTGACCCTGCACCCAGCTTGTGTGTGTGTCTGTCCAGTGCCGGGCATAGTGTGGCAACTCCTCTCGGGGTCTCCTCCATCAGTTCAGAGGACAGAGCCCACCTGAGGGTGAGTGGGAGCAAGCGGGCATCCTTGTTGTGATGGCACCTGGTAGGGTGGGGAAGGCAGACAATTTGACCTCTCACTTCACACTTGAGGCATATGAGAGATGTGGCCAGGCCTGAGGCTCCATGGCTGTCTTCTAGAGCTCTTTCATGGATCAGTGGCAGACATAAAGATCTCAGAGACTGATGACCATTTCTTCAATCCCCGGCTGAGTATCTCCACCAAGTTTCTCTCACGCCTCCAGAAGACCTCCAGGTAGAAGCTAGCGACCCTCATATTCCCCTCTCTCAGCCCTGCGGTGACCCCTTGGTAAGGCTTCATGAGCTTCTCTTTCCCACCTGCCTTCTTCCCAGGCTCCCTCCTCAGCTGCCCCTTATGAAGTCTCCAGAGGTCAAGCCTACAGGCCAGGGGGGCAGCCAGCCCAGAGCAGGGTCCCTGAGAGCAGGTACTGGCTACATGTCTGCAGATGGGACCAGTGTGAGTATTGGGGTCACTCTCTTGGGACACAGGGGTGCAGGCCAGGAGGCCTTGTTCTTACCACAGAACTGCGCTTGCAGGTCCTCTCTGGGCCGAAGGCTGAGGAGACCCCAGAGGCCTCGTGTTTACCAAGTAAGTGTCCCGTCCCAGATGAACAGCCCTGGGTGCCCAGCTGAGCCATGGGAAGTATCCGTTCAGACTGTGAAGACGAGTGTGCAAGTGAACCATCTGCTTCCCTCACAGGCCTGGCGTCCTGTGTGCCTTCTTCCATGCCACCCACAGACAGAAAGCCTCCAGCACCCACGTCTGTACCTACCCCAGTCCTGGATCAGAGTATCTGTGCCCTCTCTACATGTTCTTACCTGGAGACGACCACTAGCTCACATGCCGAGATACCACGTCGCATCTCTCTTGGGGACAGTGAGGGCCCTGTGGCAGCTGAGCTATCCAGGTCACTTCACAAACCCTTATCCTTGGGAGAACTGGCTTCCTTGGACCAGGAACCCCAGGCTGTCCCCACCACAGTGACGCTCACTTCTAGCGTCGGAGGTCAAGAGCCTGCCGTGCCTTCCTGGGGCAACCATGAGGCCCGAGCCAGCCTGAAACTGTCCTTATCCAGCGTCTGTGGCCAGCTCCTCGCCTCACCCCCGCTGGAGCCACCCAGCACATGTGTGAGGTCTCAGGAACCTGTGGATGTCCAGCCTGGTATGGCGGTCACTGTAGCCAGCTTCCGAGCACCCAGCCCTGTAGATGTGAGCACCCTGAGACTCCACAGCTCTGTGTTTCTCCCAAAGACCTCTGCTTCTGGGCCCCTCACCCCTCCTGGCCATCCCAACAACCTCCAACTTCTAGAGACCAGGTCTAGGCTGCCTGGTAGCACCAGTGCTCTCCTGGAGCCCACCCCCGGTGAGTACTGCTTGAGTACTGCCGCGGGGTACGGTAGAGCCCTAGCCCAGCCTGCGCTGCTGGACTCCTCTCCCTAGCTGTGGGGACTCTGCTGCTCATCTGTTCATTCACTCATTGACATAGTTAGGGGCAGTCCTGGGCCATGAGACGGTGGCAAACAAGAGGGCAGGGAGTCGATTCCTAACACATCACAAGTTGATAGCTACCTAGAGAAGTAAGAGAAGGGGGTTAGCAGTGTAGCTTCAACTTTAGGGTGTCAACAACGGGATTTAGGGAGTTTATACCCTAGAACCCTGTGAGGAAGAGGAACCTCGGGGACTGAAGAAAGTGGTCCAGGGCCAAGAGTCGTTAGCCCAGCCACCTGGCCTCTCAGGCCATTTAGAAAGTAAGGCTATGTTGGTCATTCACTCTTCTCTACCCCAGGTACACCAAGTGGGATCCCAGGAAGCCCTGGACACTGCGGGGAGCCTGGGCTACCTGCTGAGGTCCTGCCCCCACCACTCCCCGAGCTGGGCACTGTAGGATCCGTCTTGCACAGGCTGCAGACTGCCTTTCAAGAAGCCCTTGACATTCACCGAATGGTAAGCTAAGGAACCCAGGGCAGGGTAGGAGGATTGGCAAGGGCTCCCTGGCAGTACCTGGATGTCTCCTGACAAGCTAGTCTCCTTACAGTTGGTCTCCAGCAACCAGCTGGGTGCTGAGCATCAGCAGGCACAGAGTGAGCTGGCCTCCACCTTCCACTGGATCCACAGCCAGCTGGAAGCCAACAACTGGATGGCTGCAGCTAACTCGGCTCCACCCCAAACACTGCCTAGCCCAGCTCTGCCATCCCCACCTACGCTATGTCCCCTGGCCAGCCCAAACCTGCAGGCCCTGCTGGAGCACTACTCTGAGCTGCTGGTGCAGGCTGTGAGGAGGAAGGCAAGGGGTGACTGAGAACCACAACCCCTCTACCAAACCCCTGCTGCACTGGAGAAATAGATTTTTATGCAAATAAACTGACTACACTAAATAAAGTTGTTTCCTGGAACCTGTGCTATCTCAAAGCCCTCGCTGGATGCAGAGTCCCCTGCATGAACACTCAGCTTGGCTTCAGCACTAGGCCTGTTCTGTGGACGCCGACAGGGAAATGGGACCAGCAGAAACGATGAATGCCTGGCCTGCTTTCCCGTGTAGCCTGTCCCCAGCATACTGAGCTACTGCAGGGGTCATGTGTGTTCTTTGCCCATTGGAGCCCAGCTGTACCTAGGAGGAGCTAGCCGCCTTAACCCTATAGGTACTTACAAACCCACTGGAGCCACTGGTCATCATGGGTCTGACCCTGTCCTCAGTACATACACTCCTGGCTGACAGTCCTGGGCTAAATCCACACCAGAGCCTGCATGGTCTAAGTTGCTGCCTTCACTTCTGCAGCAGGGGAAGTGGGAGACAAACACCACTGAACAATCAGCAGTTACCCCAAGCCACCCCGTGCTCAGGAATGGGACTGTATCCAGCTTCATTCTGTGAGCCACCAGCTCCCTCAGGCAGTAGGCATGCAGACACATAGTATGTCCCTAAGAAGGCCAGCTGGAGAGTGATGACACACCTTTATTTAGTCCCAGCACTTCGGAGGCAGAGGCAGACGGATCTCTGTAAATTCAAGACCAGTCTGGTCTACCGAGCAAATTCCAGAACAGGCTCCAAAGCTACACAGAGAAACCCTGTCTCAGGGTATAAAGGAACCCAGCAGAGAGGTCTCCTGAAGCACAGGGCCATCACCCAGCTTCATCCCATCCACCCTTAGGAAGGAAGGTCCATGAGCCTGATCTTGTTGAAGGTCCCTTTGTGGGTACAGGAGCTCTGATTAAGAGGATAATAGCCACAGGGGCTGGAGAGATGGCTCAGGTTAAGAGCACTGGCTGCTCTTCCGGAGGTCCTGAGTTCAATTCCCAGCAACCACATGGTGGCTCACAACCATCTGTAATGAGATCTAGTGCCCTCTTCTGGCCTGTAGGCATACATGCAGGCAGAACATTGTATACATAATAAATCTTTAACGAAAAAAAGAAAAACCAATAATATTAACTATTTATGTAAAAAAAGAAAACAGCCAGGCAGTGGTGGCATGCACCTTTAGTCCCAGCACTTGTGGCAGACACAGTTAGTTCTCTGTGAGTTTGAGGCCAGCCTGGTCTCCAGAGTCAGTTCCAGGACAACCAGGGATACACAGAGAAACCTTGTCTCAAAAAAAAAAAAAAAAAAAAAAAAGCAAAGCAAAAACCAAAACCAGCTCTTGTTAGACCTGAAGTCCGCTGTCCAGCAGCTTGACCTTTACAAGCCGGCTACAGGAGGCATGGTAGTGGACATAGGGCACCTGAGAAGATAGCTCTCCCCACTCGTGTGTCAGTCCCTCCTTTGCCACCACCATCTGTGCCCTGTACCCACACTTGGCTTGAGACACCAACCTGCACAAGGGCACTGATCATAGTATGAAGTCCAGCAGGTGAAATATGAAGACACTTCAGCCCCATTGCTCAGCCAGGTCAGCGAAACTCAGAGCCTGCCCAGCCACTTCAGGCCTGGGTATGTCCACCCTTGGCTGACGTCACACTGAGCATGCGCTCTGGAGACTAACACACACCATAGCAGGAAGACACTTTACACCCGACTGCTGAATGGAGAAGCTGAGTGTGGACAGCACACACCTGTAATTCTATTATTCTAGCACATGGGAGGTAGAGACCGGAGGATCAGGAGTTCAAGGCTAGCCTCAGCTACATAAGTTTGAGACCAGCCTGGATTGCATCAATCTCAGAATTAAAAAAAAAAAAAAAAGACAGCAACAATAAAAACAAGTTGAAGAGTTGGCTCCACGGCTAAGAGCACAGACGACTTTTCCAATGGGCACAAGTCTCACTCTCGACTCCCACACCTGTTCACGTCACCTACAACTCCAGCTCCATGGGACCCAATGCCTCTGGCCACTGCGGGCACCTGCACTCTCATGCACTTACACACAGACACACGCACACAAAAGTCATGTTTTTAAAAGGCTCCTTGAGAGGCGACTTGTTCAGGTCCTACACTGTAGGACGTGCAGAGACAGTATGGCAAAGCTCAGCATGCAGGCGGGAAGCAAGCTTTTACCCTTGTAGGCCATGATGAATCCACAAGACCGACTCCTGTGCCAGTCACCTTCCCATCCTTATGAAAGTACCTGAGAAACAGGAAAGGTTTGTTTAGGCTGTGGTTTCCAGCTATGCTTGGCTGCCGCGTTGCTGTGGGCCTCAGGCAGAGCAGAACTTCCTGGCTGTGGCAGAGAAGGCAGCTCACCTCATGGTGGCCAGCAGCAGAGAGCCAGAGAGAGGTCTGGGGACGGGATGCACTCTTCACAGGTACATAATTCAGTGCCCCACTTCCTCCAGCCAGGCCTCACCGCTTAGTTGTACCAATTCAAGAATGCCATCAAACTTCGAGTCAGTGGATTAATTCATGGGTGAGCTTGGAAGGCTCATGACCTGATCAGTTCTCAATTGATTCACCGGCGCATGAGCCTTCGAACTTCTTACTCAAATCTTAACACAAGGAATGCAAAGGACTCTTTCCTGGAGTGGGATGTAATTTAATAGAGAGCTGGCCTGGCACCCCCAAGCCCTTGGCTCCATCCCCAGCACCACAGAGAATGAGTATGGTAGCATATGCCTACAATCCCAGCACTCGAGAGATAGAGGTAGGAGGATCACAAGTTCAAGACCATCCTGGCACCTGGCAGTGGTGGCACACGCCTTTAATCCCAGTATTGGGGGGGGGGCAGAGGCAGGCAGATCTCTGTGAGTTCTGGGCCAGCCTGGTCTACAAGAGCTAGCTCCAGGACAGCCTCCAAAGCTACAGAGAAACCCTGTCTCAAAAAACAAACAGGCCAGGCGGTGGTGGCGCACGCCTTTAATCCCAGCACTCGGGAGGCTGAGGCAGGTGGATCTCTGTGAGTTCGAGGCCAGCCTGGTCTACAAGAGCTAGTTCCAGGACAGGAACCATACATAAGCTACGGAGAAACCCTGTCTCGAAAATAAAAAAATAAAAAAATAAAAGGCCATCTTTGGCTACATAGTAAGTTGGAAGCCAGCTTGGGATGCATAAGACCCTGTTTTTGTTCTATTTGTTTTACAAGGGGTGGTGGTGGTGAGATGGCTCAGCAGGTGAAGGCATTTGCCATGCAAGCCTGGTGACCTGAGTTCAATCCCTTGAACCCAGGTTTTAGGGCTTCTATTGGTGTGAGTAAAACAAACACCAAGACCAACTGGGCTGGGTGGCACACACCTTTAATCCCAGCACTTGGGAGGCAGAGGCAGGAGGATCTCTGTGTTTGCAGCTAGCCTGGTTGACAGAGCAAATTCCAGGACACCCAAGGCTACACAGAGAAACCCTGTCTCAAACAAAGAAACAAATAAATAAATAAAGCAGTGAAGATAACTGTGGGGAGAGTGCCCAGTATTCTTGACTCCTAGTTCAGACATCAGATAAGGATCAATCTAGAACAGCCTACCTGGAGTGTAGTAAGTTCCTGGCAGCTCCAGGGATTTGAGGAGTCCTGTGAGCTCACTAGGAACTGGGCTGTTGACAAACCAGCATTGTAATGCCCTAAGCTAGAAAGATGGATGCCATGTCATCTTCGGAAGTCTGAAGATCAGAGAGATCTTCCTGCCTGAGGAGGTTCGGCTGTCACCCTACACCCGTGGCACAGAACAATCACAGCTGTGCCCACCCGCATCCTTGGACAGCTGTGTGATTTGAATAACCAGGCAGACTGATGATGTGTGTGGCAGGGAACGGACACGGGCTGATTTGCCTGGTAAACCCCTGGAGTCCTTCACCGTGCCAGGACTGGGGCCATGTATCTTTCTTCTCTCCAGCCTCAGGCGCAGCCTAGGCTCTTCCTTCACTCAAGCCTCTCTGGGGGTCCTCTAAGTGTCTCAGCCCCTGGAGATTGCAGTGTTCCTCGGGAGCCTGGCCTAGGGAAGGAGCCATAATGGCAGGCCCTGGAGCAGAGGTAACGAGAGCCAGTTAAGGCTGCTCCCTGGGCTTGTCCCAAAATTTGCATAAAGAGAATGAGGCTCCTCCGTGGGTCTCCTGACCTCACCTAGCTCTGAATAGTTCTGGGCTGAGGTCTGACAGGCAGCAGACAGAGGAGGCAGTCCTGTGGGGAACCACTGCACCATCCTGACAGCAATGCCCCGGGTCTTCCTTGTGAGGAGCCGCCGTCCACAACCACCTAACTGGAGCCGTCTGCCTGACCAGCTCCGAGGAGATGCCTATATTCCAGGTATGCACCTCCCTGGGCCTGGCGGTGACGGGCCAGGGAGACACAAGGGGTCACCCTCTGACTTCTCTCCCCAGACTGCTGCAGTCTGGCAGTGCCACCAGCGCACAGATCTCCTGGTCTGAGAGACACTTGGGCAGCGGTGAGTCTGCGGCTGGCACGGGGACAAATTTCCACCCGCATTCGGGAAGCTGGCTGACCCTTACTCCAGGCCCTGTTGCACACACTTCCGGCCCAGGACCTTCTTCACTTGGCATGCCTCTCCTTTCCCCACAGCCAGCTCAGTCCAGTCTCAGTTAAGACCCGCACTCCCATGGTGTGTGTGTTGGGGGGAGGGGGAGGAGGCAGCTGTAGGGCCCTGCTCTAGGGAGCTGTGTCCGGTGGGTGCAAACTAGGTGGAACGTGATTTACATCAACACTGGGTAAGGTAACAGAGATGGGGGCAGGGGCTGTGCTGCCTTAACCTCCCAGGAAGGCCAGCTGTGCTGTCTTTGAGAGAGCTTGGGGTCAGCTCGGTATCTGAGAGGCCCACACTGAGCAAGGTGCTGAGGATCCTGCAGAAGGGACGGACGTCCACTTCCTCACGGAGCACAGACAATAAAACTAGGAAAGCTTGTATCGGCAAAGTGTGCTCCTGGCAATGGAGGGACATGAAGGGTCAGTGATGGGATTGGTTAAGGAAGGTCTTGAGGAGAGGGTGGCACCTGTCCCCTCTACCCACAGACCCTCTTCTCGCGGTCCTTAGCTGTGGGCACATTTAACTCTTGTTTGTGGAGTAGCAAAGCCTGGGCAGGATCCAGCTGGCCCGGCTAACTCCTGCACCCCTCTGGCAGTCCTCACAGGGAACCCTGACCTCTGCTCCCAGGGCCCCGGGGACACTTGGCTGCCCGCTTTGCCCCAAGGCCTTCCCGCTGCAGCGCATGCTGACTCGGCACCTCAAGTGCCATAGCCCGGCACGGCGCCACGTGTGCCACTGCTGCGGCAAGGGCTTCCACGATGCCTTCGATCTCAAGCGCCACATGAGGACGCACACGGGTGAGCGACAGCAGGGACAATGAGGGTCTGTCTTCTGGACACCAGATGGGGATGGCGAGAGAATGAACCAGAGGGAGATGCATGGAGTATGGGGTCCCCAGAGCGTGGGGATGAGTAGCAGGGACACATCACGAGAGACTGGAGACATGATGTACCTCAGAGGGGGTGGGAATAAGATGGCATCAAGAAAGGGGTCAGGCAGAGGGTAGAGATGGGTGCTGGCTACAGAATTCAGGTTCTGGGGCCAGAAAGATTTCTCAGTGAGTAAAGGCAATCGCTGGCAAGCCTGACAACCTGAGTTCACCCCCAGGACACAGGTGACGTAGGAACAGACTCCCCCTATTACCTTCTGACTTGTGCCATGGCATTTGTGCACAGGTTCACTCGCATGTACACACAAACACACACTAAACAAAACATAGTTAAAAACCTATGCCAGGCTTGGTAGTATTTGCTTTTAATCCCAGCAAATCTGAGTTCCAGACCAAATAGGGCTACACTCCAAATAATCAACAGGGCTGCAGGTGTGGCTCAGTGGTTAAGAGCATCAGCTGCTCTTCCAGAGTAGCTCGGTTCCGCTCCCAGCACCTACATGGCAGCTCCCAGGGGTCTGTTATTTCAGTTCTGGAGTACCCTATGCCTTTACACAGACAAACATGTAAGCAAATACCCAATGCACATAAAATAAAAATAAATCAATCAATAAAGCCAGGCGGTGGTGGCACACATCTTTAATCCTAGCACTTGGGAGGCAGAGGCAGGCAGATTTACGTGAATTTAAGGCCAGCCTGGTCTACAGAGCAAGTTCCAGAACCACCAGGGCTATACAGAGAAATCGTCTCACAACAGAACAAAAAACTTTCAGAATCCAGATTTAGGGCAGTCAAGGGAACTTCCCAAGTTGCTAAGGGCCCCTGCCTTTCTCAGGAGGGCTTCCTCACCCAAAGTCTGGTTCCTGTTGCCTTAGGGAAGGGATAGCAGATGGCTGGTGGGCCGTGAATGTCAGTGTCTGCCCAGCTGAAATAAGGACAGGAAATGCAAGGTGGGAAGTCCACCTACAGTTTACAGCCCAAGCCTAGAGTCAGCAGCCATTGTCCCTTGCCCCTCATCTTTACAGGAATACGGCCGTTCCGCTGTGGAGCCTGTGGGAAAGCTTTCACTCAGCGCTGCTCCCTTGAAGCTCATCTTGCCAAGGTACACGGGCAGCCGGCCAGCTATGCTTACCGAGAGCGCAGGGAGAAGCTGCACGTGTGTGAAGACTGTGGCTTCACCAGCTCTCGGCCTGATGCTTACGCACAGCATCGCACGCTCCACCGCACACTCTGATATACCGGCGCTTCCTATCCACGAGACGAATAAACGGGAAACGCTAGTATAAAAACTGGCATTTATTATAGGTGGGGAAGGGTCATTCAGTCCAGCGGTGGCCGCAGTGTGGGGCGGTGCATACGTAGTACAGGCGCATGGCGTCCTGGCAAGAAGAACGTTCAATTAGAAAGGGTCTGAACCCAGGGGACAGTAGTATGGGGTACCCCAAAGAATAGTCAAAGGAACTTTCCAATCTTGATTCGAGGAAGCATAGGATCAGCCGCAAAATGGCGTTCCCACCCCCTGGGGAGCCACCCAGGAAGGTGGCCCACTCACCTCAGCTCGGGCACTGTGTGACTGGAAGAATACTGCCTCCTTGTGGCCACACCTAAGGGGACGGTTCAGTTACTAAAAGTGTGAAAAGACCCTCGTCATCCCCAGGGGACTGCCACTCTCTTTCCCCCAGGCCACTCACTTCTGGCAAGGGTGGTCCTCCGTCCGAGGCAGCGTGGGGTCCTGAGACACGTCTGCGATGATCTGGGTCAGCTCGCTGCAGGGATGGGGAAGCGAGTAATTACGGTTAGACTGGATGTCCCGAGAGCAGCATACCTGTGTCCCAAGCCGGGGTTCCGCCACTCACTCCACTTCGTGCGTGATTTTGTTGACGTAGATGCAGCTGTTGTCAGCTTCCTGCTGGTAATCGCAATTGCGGCACTACAGGAGGGGGAAGAGTGGCGGGAGGGGTGTCACAAACATATCAGAGGGAGGGCAGGATGATCCCCGGAGGGGAAGGACAAGAAGGGAGAGAGGGTGCATTGAGAGGCAGTAAAGAGGCAAAAGCGTGGGACCCAGTAGGGAACGGAGAGGAGGGCTGAAGAGGGCGGCCGGCACTCACCGCGTACAGCAGAATGCGGTTCTCCTTGTCCTCCTTGGGGTACAGCATGTTATTACTGTGGGGAGAGAGAGGTCCCAGGTCAGCCCCGAAGCCAATCCTCACTGCTTTGCCACACCAGCTGCCCGGGACGCACCATTCCTGGCAGAATCGAATACCCACGAAGCCCGGCTCGTAGGTCCCGTCCGGTTCCATAGCGACGGGCTTGTCGACTCTTCCGCGCTTGCGCGGCCGCTCTACGGACCGCGGGAAGGGTCAGACCGCGGGCAGGGGCTGCGCGCGCGCGCACGCGGGCTCTCGCTCTTGTGGGGGTCTGGCTGACGGCTTGCCGCAATCCTCTGGTACCCTTGCTTCTTGACTTACAGAGTAGCACGGATCTAGGACAAGGGGTGAGACTACGATGCGCAACGCCACCCGCAAGGCACTGAGCGTAAATGGAAGAAGCCGTTGCTCTCTTCTTGGCGTCAGGCACATGCGCCGAGCTTACTCATGGCGAACCAGGCTAACTCCAGCCAGTCTTTCTTCTTGGCGTCCTCCTCCTCCCGCCCTCCTGGGAGGCTTCCCGTGCAGCTATTGGAAGAACCGAGAGGCATGACCCCCTCTCGGGATTGGCTGGATCTGCCCGAGACTCAGCCTGGAGGTGGAGAAAGGACGATAGCGATTGGCCGGTCGTGTTTGTTGGAGCGCTTGTATTGGTCAGCTTCGGGACCAGGGGCGGGACTGATATCCCAGAAGCAGCGGCGGCCACTGCGGAGCCGGTGTGAGGCTGCTGAACCGGATCGCGGGCCACTACAGAGCGCGGCGAGATGGAGGTGACGGGGATCTCGGCGCCCACTGTGACGGTTTTCATCAGCAGCTCTCTCAACAGCTTCCGCTCGGAGAAGCGGTACAGTCGTAGCCTGACCATCGCAGAGTTCAAGGTGTGGCATTGGGGGCGTGGTCCGGGGGCGGGGCCTGAGGCTAGTGGGCGGAGTTTGCGGCGAGGCTGCAGAGAATGGCAACCAGCCTCCGGGGCGTGGGAGCCCCAGAGAAACAGTCCACAGGGTAGGGGCGGGACCCGGGAAAATCAGATGCTCTAGAGAGCCGAGGGGGCGGGACCCAGAGGGGACCCAGCAGGAATGCCGTCGTAGTTGTTGACACGAGCCCGAAAGTGAGGCCTCTGACAGCCTTTCTCCTCTCCTGCCGCCTTGCCGCAGTGTAAACTCGAACTGGTGGTGGGCAGTCCTGCTTCCTGCATGGAACTGGAGCTGTATGGCGCCGACGACAAGTTCTACAGCAAGTTGGATCAAGAGGATGCATTGCTGGGCTCCTATCCTGTGGATGATGGCTGCCGCATCCATGTGAGGCCCCACTTCCTGAACGTTCATTCGTTTGTTTATTTATTGAGCAAGTACTTGCTGTGCTTTGCCCTTCCCTCATGGAACCCCCAGTTAAGCCTGGTGAAAAGCAGTGTTCAGTAGACAGTGACAAACCAGAGTTGTCTGGACCCTGTTAGAGGCACCACGGGGAAATGGTCAAACACAGGAGGCACTTGACTTCACTTGGGGGCGTGAGAAAAGGCTTCCTGGAGGAAAGGGTGTTTGAGCTATATCCTGAGGCTACTTACGTGGGCGGGGGGGGGGGGGGGGCGGAGGAGAAAGTACAGAGCGCTAAAGAATTGTGGTGTACCACCATGAGCAGTTAGGCTAGCCAGGCTGGGAGAAGCAAGAACACAAAAGGCCTCTGTGTGCATCATGCTTAGATGTCCGATTCTAAGCTCTGCCTCCATTCCCTTTCCTGTCTTGTGTTGTATTCTCAATCCACAAAGTTCATTTCCATAAACCCACATGGCTGAGCCTTCTGATCTTTACTTAAGTTCCTCCAGCACTGGAGACAGTGGGCACACCTGTAATCGCAGCATTCAGGAGGAGTTAGGAGGCAAGCCTGAGATAAACAGTGGTACTCAGTTAAAAAACAAAATAAACACCAGGTGGTGGTGCAACACGCCTTTAATCCATCGCTGGGCGATGGTGGCGCATGCCTTTAATCCCAGCACTCGGGAGGCAGAGGCAGGCGGATCTCTGTGAGTTCGAGACCACCCTGATCTACAGAGCTAGTTCCAGGACAGGCTCCAAAGCCACAGAGAAACCCTATCTCTAAAAACCAAAAAATAAAAAATAAAAAAATAAAAAAAAAGAAAGAAAAGAAAAAAAAAAAGAGCTAGTTCCAGGACAGGCTCCAAAGCTACAGAGAAACCCTGTCTCAAAAAACCAAAAAATAAACAAACAAGCCACGCAGTGATGGCACACACCTCTAATCCCAGCACTTGGGAGACAGTGGCAGGTGGATCTCTGTAAATTCAAGGCCAGCCTGGGCTACATAGTGAGTTCCAGGATAACCAGGACTACACAGTGAAACCCTGTCTCAAAAAAAAAATAGGAGCTGATCGCAGGAGCCAGTCAGCCCGAGATCAGTTCCTGGACCCTCATTAAGGAGAGAACCAGTTCCACACACACACACAAAATGGAAGGGCCAGGTGTGGTGGAACCACAAGGCCTAAGCTCAGTTGTTAGCACAGACAAGAAAATGGCCTTCCAGATAGCACCTTTACGAGTCAGCAGTTTCATGTGTTCTGTTTGTCTTTATTTATCTTGTGCCATGGTGCACACAGGTATGGTTTTCTCCTCTGCGTGAGTCTTGAGTTGCCCTCCGAGGACCGGGTTGGCCAGCAGCACCTTTGCCCACTGAGCCATCCCACTGCAACTGTCCTGTTCTTTCCCCTTGTCGCTGTTTTGGTTTGTTTTTAGATTTATTCATTTTGTTTTATGTGTGTGAGTCCTTTGCCTGTATGAGTGTCTATGCGTAGAGGCCAGAAGAGGACATTGGATCCCCTGGAACTGGAGTTGCAGGTGTTATGGACTGCTGTGTGGGTGCTGAGAACCGAACCTGGGTTCTGCAAGAGCAGCCAGTGCTTTCAACTGCTGAGCCACCTCTCCAGCACCTCTTGTGTTTTTGAGATAGTTTTGTCCCTGATTGGCCTCAAATTCCCTGTGGAGCCATGGCTAGCCCTCTATTCCTGAGCTTGTCTCCACATGCCAGGTGGAATTATAACTTAGTATAAAAATTTGACCTCTCTTTCTCTTTTTTTTAAAGCATATTTTGGGTTTTCTCTTTGCTCTTAGCTGTTTCCACGCTCTAGCATATCACGGGGCTTTCTCACTGGTCTGGCTTTTTGTCCCTGATTAGAATTCTGGGAGGGCAGAAGTTGCCCTCGCTGTAGGTCAGTGCTGTGTCTCCAGCTATGGGAATAGGGCCCAGCACAGACAGGGTCCTCCAGGAATCACCAAGTCTCTGCTGATTCGTTGACCCCCAGAATAACACCAGGACTGTGGTTCCCTTATCTCCGTTTGTGGGAGAAGGAATTGTTGCTGTTGTTTCTTTCTGTTTGTTGGTTGATTGTTCTTATGCAGTTTGATTTCTGTGTGTGTGTGTGTGTGTGTTCTCCAGACTGTAGTGTGTGTGTGTTCTCCAGACTGTAGTGTGTCTGTGTGTGTGTCTGTGTGTGTGTCTGTGTGTGTATGTGTTCTCCAGACTGTAGTGTGTCTATGTGTGTGTGTGTGTGTATGTGTTCTCCAGACTGTAGTGTGTGTGTGTGTATGTGTTCTCCAGACTGTAGTGTGTGTGTGTGTATGTGTTCTCCAGACTGTAGTGTGTGTGTGTGTGTGTGTTCTCCAGACTGTAGTGTGTCTGTGTGTGTGTGTTCTCTAGACTGTGGTGTGTGTGTGTGTGTCTGTGTGTGTGTATGTGTTCTCCAGACTGTAGTGTGTGTGTGTTCTCCAGACTGTAGTGTGTCTGTGTGTGTGTTCTCCAGACTGTAGTGTGTGTGTGTGTATGTGTTCTCTAGACTGTGGTGTGTGTGTCTGTGTGTGTATGTGTTCTCCAGACTGTAGTGTGTGTGTGTATGTGTTCTCTAGACTGTGGTGTGTGTGTGTGTCTGTGTGTGTGTATGTGTTCTCCAGACTGTAGTGTGTATGTGTTCTCCAGAGTGTAGTGTGTCTGTGTGTGTGTCTGTGTGAGTGTATGTGTTCTCCAGACTGTAGTGTGTCTGTGTGTATGTGTTCTCCAGACTGTAGTGTGTCTGTGTGTGTGTTCTCCAGACTGTACTTGTCCTTGAACTCTTACCTCTACCTCCAGAGTGCTGAGATTATAGGCCTGGGCCGCCCTCCCAACATTGGAATTTACTCTTTCTTTCTTCCTTTTTTTTTTCTTTTTTAAAAAAAAAAAAACAAGAAGAACAAAATTTTCGGTGATTCTGACTCTTTGAAAAAGATTGGAGTTGACAGTTGTGAGCTGTCATGTGGGTTCTGGGAATTGAACCTGGGTCCTCTGGAAGAGCAGACAGTTTTCTCAACTGCTGAGCCATCTCTCCAGCCCTGGAATTTACCTTCTTGAGGGTGAACTCTTGGTAGAATTTTGACCTGGGTCTGCCCTGACTCCAGAAGCCACTAAGCCTGGAGAACTGGTCATTTTTTTTCTGTTCATGTATCCTGTTACTGGTTCTTCAAACATCTGTGTTGGGTTGGGCATAGTTGCAAGACATAACCCAGAAGGCCTGTGTTAGCTCTACCCATGGGGTATGGTGGCATTGGCTGAATGATCACAGAACCAGACAGGAAAATCTGTGGGAATGAGGGCTGTGCAGGAGAGCTTGGCATCTCGGGTGCTGGGGAGGCTGGGCCTTGAGTGAGATCTGTGAGGATTTCTGGGAGCAGGTGCCATGCAGCTTCCGGGAGCTATTGGGGAGGACAGTGGATGTTAAGAGGGCCTGAGCATGAGGGGTCTGCTGTGCCTCGGGTGTTCATGGCACCTCAGGTTGTAGGCAGGAAGCCAGATGGAGGACAGGCAGAACAGGGAAACCAGAGACCCAGATGATCCTGGTTCTGGAGGTGGGGACCACCCTGAGAGGAAGGATGTAAGCCAGACTTGAAATCTCCAGCTGGTTTCAGGAGATGTTGATGCCAGGGTGTGGAGGACATTTGGGGGCAGATGCAGTATCCAGGGGCTGAGCTGGGGATGAGGAAGAGGAGTGGCCGGTGTCTGTTCTGCTGTGCTGGTGGCGGGCAGGGGAGGAGTGTGGCTTCTGCTAGTCTCCAGACTGTACCAGTGTGTGACTTGATGCCAACATCCCAGGTCTTCTCCGACCCTGGTCCCCACTGACTCCCCTCCTCTTACCAAAGGTCATTGACCACAGTGGTGTCCGGCTTGGAGAATATGAGGATGTGTCCAAGGTGGAGAAATTCGAGATCTCATCAGAAGCTTATGACCGGAGGCAAAGTACAGAGTGCTTGGGCCGGGCTGGAGGGGGCGTGTGGGGTTCAGAAGGCTGGGAGAGACAGTGGGGCCATCACAGGCTAGGCAGCAGGAGCGGGCCTTGGAGAGTGGGAGGTGGGACTCAGGGACAGACACTGGGAGATGAGTCCAGGCAGCTGAGGTGGAGTGGCCCTGCAGGATGGGGTTAGGCAGGCAAAGGGGCCTCTGAAAGACGGGGACTCGAGGTGGGTTGGGGATTGGGTTGAGGGAGTAGTGGTAAAGATGGCATGGGATATATACAGGGTGGTGTGGCATTTGGAGCAGGCATCTGAGGAAAGGTCAGAGTGGGTAGACAGGGGAGCACTTCGGGAGCCAGATGAAGATGAACGGAATACCAGACCAGAGGGGTGTGTGGAGAAATAGGGTCAGGTGAGGGACGGGAGGCAGATGGGGGTAGGGAGAGGAAAGTAGGGGAGAGGCTTGAGGTGGTGGCAGCTCTTAAATACTCCGAATAGAATTTCTGCATGTATGTCAGCCCTTTGTGGGAGGAACGTGCTCTGAAGGTCAGGTTTGACCCTGTCCCCCATCCCCGTCCCCACCCTGCCCGCAGACACAGTTCGGTCCTTCATGAAGCGCAGCAAGGTAGGCCCATACAATGAAGAACTTCGGGCACAGCGAGAGGCTGAATCCGCCCAGCGCCTCAGCGAGGAGAAGGCCCAAGCCAGTGCCATCTCTGTGGGTAGCCGTTGTGAGGTGCAGGCACCTGGCCAGTCCCTTCGCCGAGGCACTGTCATGTATGTAGGTAGGTGTCTTTCTGTCACTGTGACTGGAAACTTGACAGAACTTTCGGAAAGATGTCTTTTGGCTCGTAGTTTCAGAGGGTTCAGCTCATGGTCATTTGGATCCATGCACTTGGCCACAGCATCATGGAAGACCAGGCTGGCCTCAAACTCAGAGGCTGAGCTTCCTCGGCCTCCCAAGTGCTGGTATTAAAGGTGTGCACCACCTTGCCCAGCTCCTATGGAATCTGTGCAGTCAGTCATTGCCCATTAAGCAGTGGAGGAAGGAGTCTGTCTCCACGGCAGCCTTTCTGCTCCACCAGGAAGCATGAGCCAGGAGCGAGCTCCATTTAGAGGTTTCACCAAGATTTCTCTCCTGGGCAGGACTTACAGATTTCAAGCCAGGCTACTGGGTTGGCGTCCGGTACGACGAGCCCTTGGGGAAGAATGATGGCAGGTAACGTGTGGCCGCTGCTGTGTGTGCTTGTCCGTGTATGTGGGAGCCAGCAGCCACCCCTCAGCCCCTCACTGCTGCCTTCCCGTCCTGCCCTGCAGTGTGGATGGGAAACGCTACTTTGAATGCCAGCCTAAGTACGGTGCCTTTGTCAAGCCGGCGCTTGTCACCGTGGGAGACTTCCCCGAGGAAGACTACGGGTTGGATGAGATGTGACACTGAAGGAAGGATGTGGTCCCCTGCTGCGGCCCTGACAGGGCCCCTCTGTCTGTCCACCTGTGGCCCTTTCCTCCCCGTTTAATATTATTCACTTCTGTCTGCTGTTGACTTTTGAGATTTGTGCATTAAATTAACCAGAACCCAGGAAGATATGTGAGTCTCTTGATTCGGGAAGATCATGGTAGTGATTCATGGTGGGCGGTGGTGGTGGGCACACCTTTGATCCCAGCACTTAGGAGCAGAGGCAGGTAGAGCTCTGAGTTCAAGGCCAGCATGATCTACAGAGTGAGTTCCAAGAATAGCAAGAAGTACATAAAAAGACCCCTTCCAAAAAAAAAATCTGGATGAAGGGATGGCACCTAGACTCCTCCAAGAGATGGCTTTACACCTTCTGTTTTGTTTTGCTTGTGTTTTGAGACAGGGTCTCTCTGTAGGTTTAGAGCCTATCCTGGAACTAGCTCTTGTAGACCGAGTGCTGGGATTAAAGGCCTGTGCCGCCACCACCCAGTGGCTTTACACCTTTTTACTTACAATAATATCCTGAGCGCTGGAGAGGCAGCTCCTGGCTAAGAGTGCTTGCTGTGGGGCTGGGGAGACAGCTCAGCGGTTAAGAGCACTTGCTGTTCTTCCGGAGGACCTGGGCTCAATTCCCAGCACCCATATGGCAGCTCACAACTATCTATAATTCCAAAATCTGACCCCCTCACACAGACATCCATGCAGGCAAAACACCAATGCATGCAAATAAACTTTAAAAAAAAAAGTGCGAACCTTATAGAAGAGAAAGTGGGAAGCACACTTGAACACGTTGGCACAAGGAACCACTTCCTAAATAGAACCCCAGCAGCACAGACACTGAGAAAAACAATTAATAAATGGGACCTTCTGAAACTGAAAGCTTCTGTAAAGCAAAGGACACGGTCAACAAGACAAAACGACAGCCTACAGAATGGGAAAAGATCTTCACTAACCCCACATCAGACAGAAGTCTGATCTCAAAAATATACAAAGAACTCAAGAAATTGGACACCAAAAAGAACACATAATGCATTAATAAAATGGAGTACAGACCTAAACAGAGAACCCTCAACAGAGGAATCTAAAATGGCTGAAAGACACTTAAGGAAATGTTCAACATCCTTAGTCATCAGAGAAATGCAAATCAAACAACTATGAGATTCCATTTTACACCTGAAAGAATGGTCAAGATCAAAAACTCGGATGACAACTTATGCTGGAGAGGTTGTGGAGAAAAGGGAACACTTCTGCATTGCTGGTGGAATGCAAGCTGGTACAACCCCTTTGGATGTCAGTGTGGTGATTTCTCAGAAAATTAGGAAACAACCTTCAAGACCCAGTAATACCACTTTTGGGTATATATACAAAGGATGCTCAATTGTGCCCCAAGGACATGTGCTCAACTATGTTCATAGCAGCTTTGTTTATCATAGCTAGAACCTGGAAACAACCTAAATGCCCCTCGACCGAAGAATAGATAAAGAAAATATGGTAATTTACACAATGGAGTACTACACAGCAGAAAAAAATAACGACATCTTGAATTATGCAGGAAAATGGATGGAGCTAGAAAACATTATTTTGAGTGAGGTAACCCAGACACAGAAAGACAATTATCACATAGGTGTTTTTTTTTTTTGTTTTTGTTTTTTCGAGACAGGGTTTCTCTGTGGCTTTGGAGCCTGTCCTGGAACTAGCTCTCTAGACCAGGCTGGTCTCGAACTCACAGAGATCCGCCTACCTCTGCCTCCCGAGTGCTGGGATTAAAGGCGTGCGCCACCATCGCCCGGCTACATAGGTGGTTTTTAAACATAAAGCAAAGAAAGCCAGCCTACAAACCACAACCCCAGAGAACTCAGACAACAATGAAGACACTAAGAGAGACTCACATAGATCTAATCTACATGGGAAGTAGAAAGTAGAAAAAGACAAGATCTCCTGAGTAAATTGGGAGCATGGGGACCTTGGGGGAGGGTTGAAGAAGGGAGAGGAGAGACAGGGAGGGGAGCAGAGAAAAATGTAGAGCCCAATAAATATCAATAAAAACAAGTGCTTGCGCTATAGCAGAGGACCAGCGTCCATCCCAGCATGCAGCTCATGAAGGCTCCCGTCAACATCCTGCAAACACAGTCTACATACAGCTTCCTCTTAAATACTCTGCTGCTGTAACAGCCAAGACAGCGGGGCTTCTGAAGATGAAAGCTCAGGTCCGGCTTTGTTGTTGTTGTTTTTTTATTTATTTATTATGTATACAACATTCTGCCTCGATGTATGCCCGCATGCCAGAGCAGGGCGCCAGATCTCAGTACAGATGGTTGTGAGCCACCATGTGGTTGCTGGGAATTGAACTCAGGACCTCTGGAAGAGCAGCCAGTACTCTTAACCTCTGAGCCATCTCTCCAGCCCTTTGTTGTTGTTTTTGAGACGTAGTCTGGCCTGGACTTACTGTGTAGGCCAGGCTGGCCTCAAACTCAGATCCTTCTTAACCGCTTTCTCCTAGGTGCTAGGAATAAAGGCAAGCGTAACCACGCCCTTTCTCCCAGGTGCTAGGAATAAAGGCGTGTGTGACCACGCCTTCCCTGCAGCTTGACTCACTTTCTTTAGGGGCTCACATACTCCCCAGTATGACGATCTCCGTGTCAGCAGCCATCTCTGTACACCTTGGTGTATGCCCATCCTCTCCTACCTCACATCCAGGAGCAGCCTTTAAGGCAGAGCACCAGAGCCGGACATGGTAAGTCACTGAAGTCCTAGCATTCAGGAAGCGGAGGCAGGAGGTTAGCCTTGGTGATCTGGAGGACAGTCCAGGTTATGAGGAATTCCAAACCTGCCTGTGCTAGAGTACAAACCTGGAAGAGGCACAGTTCAAAACTTACTCGTGGCTGGAGAGATGGCTCAGAGGGTAAGCAACCACATGGTGGCTCACAACCATCTATCATGATACCTGGTGCCTTCCTTGCCAGCAGTACATTGTATGCTTAATAAATAAATAAATCTTTAAAAAAAAAACTTACTCGTAACTCATTGGCCAGGGTGTTGTCATGTGACCCCCTGGTAAAACTAGGAGAACCTGGGAGTCAGGCTGTTAGCTCAGCCAGCTGTGAAAGGAGCCGTACTAGAGCCCTGGAGGAGGGAGGGTGCTGGGGAGATCCGCTGCAGACCCGCACCCGAGGGACCTTTGCGTTCTAAGACTTGTTCTTATGTTTTGCCCACGAAGGCAGAAAAGGGTATCAGGTTCCCTAGAAGTGGAGTTACTATTGGGGGCCACCAGGCATGTGCTGGGAATTGAACCCAGATCCTCTGGGAGAGCAGCCGGGGCTCTGAACTGCCTAGCCATTTCTCCTGCCCCGGTTGGTGTTTTAAGGAAGTAAGCCAGGCCAGGTTTGTGGTACAGGCCTGCCATCCTCCCTCCTCAGACAGGTCTGGGCTACTCAGTGAGCTGAAGGCCCTGCCTGAAGGAACGGTGAGACCTGGCCTCAAAACCCACAAAGAAAACTAGGCGGTGGTGGCCCACGGCTGCCTTTAATCCCAGAACCCAGGAGGCAGAAGCAGGTGGCCAGCCTGGTCTACAGAGTGAGTTTCAGGACAGCCAGGGTTACACAGAGAAACACTGTCTCAAAAAACCAAAAATCAGAAGAGAAAAGGAACATTAGCAAGCTTCGGCTTCAATTCCAGCACCCACCTGGTGGCTCACAGCCATCTACAACTCCAGGGGATCAGACGCCATCTTCTGGCCTCAGATGGCACTGCAGACATGTGCCACATAGACATACATGCCCCCCAACACACAAAAAACTCATAAACACATAAATTTTTTAAAAAATTAAAATAAAAAGAGGGCTGGGAATATTGCTCAGGGGCAGAGTATTTGGCTGGCATATGTTCCCATTTCAAGTAGAGAAAAGAGAGAGAGGAAGGGAGGGAGGGAAGGAAGGAAGGAGAAGGGAAGGAGGGAGGGAGGGAGAGAGGGAGGGAGGGAGGGAGGGAGGGAGGGAAGAAAGCACTGGAAGTTGGAAGTAGGCAAGTAGCAGGAAGCCATTCTTTGCAGCATTGTGCAGCCTGGCAGAGACCACTGCCCTCAGGCTAATGATATGTGTGCAGCCCTGCATTCTGGAGGGTGAGTCACTAGGCTTGTGCAGCCTGGCAGAGACCACTGCCCTCAGGCTAATGATATGTGTGCAGCCCTGCATTCTGGAGGGTGAGTCACTAGGCTTGTGCAGCCTGGCAGAGAGCACTGCCCTCAGACTAATGATATGTGTGCAGCCCTGCATTCTGGAGGGTGAGTCACTAGGCTTGTGCAGCCTGGCAGAGAGCACTGCCCTCAGGCTAATGATATGTGTGCAGCCCTGCATTCTGGAGGGTGAGTCACTAGGCTTGTGCAGCCTGGCAGAGACCACTGCCCTCAGGCTAATGATATGTGTGCAGCCCTGCATTCTGGAGGGTGAGTCACTAGGCTTGGGCCTGCATGTAAAATATTAACCCTCATTAGCTCTTTCAAGGGATTCTGGGTAGAACAACTTTTTGGAAGATGGCTTAATTGTTTAATTGCTTAATTATAACTCCTGAAGGAGGAGCTAGCCGTAATAGGCGGGCGGGGGCGGGTACAGTAAGAAGGAGGAGCTAGTCGTAATGGGGGGGGGATACAGTAGGGAGGAAACAAATGTACCCGAGGGCTGTGGTGTTCTTGGGCACACAGCCCGTGTCACCTACCCCCCCCCACACACACACAGAGCATGGGCACACAGCAGGTGGCACCCACCCCACCACAGAACTTGTAGGCTTACTCAGATAGACTCAACCCAAACAGACACAAGACATGGTTTGCACAAACTGCCTACAGATTTGCAAAAGCCACATACCAACCACACATACCGAGTGCCATCAGAAATCACAAGAAATAGATCCATAGATTATGCTGCCCCCACCCCACACCCCAAGTCAGCAAGCAAGAGGTATGCCCAGCCTCCCGACCAGCTTGTTGGGCAGCTTGCTGTGACTGTGACAAATTTGGACGAGAGTTTTTTCTCTGTGTGCACGCACGTGTGTAAGTATACATGTGGGTATGTGTGCGTCTGTGTATATGGGCATGCATATGGAGGTCTGAGGTTAATGTTGGGAATAATCCTC